TACAGTGTTTGTTCTTCCTAAGCATGGTTAATCGGTAAATGTTCTAAGGTTTTTATTCAAAGCAAATTGACTTAAGTAAAGGGTGGGATGATTCTGGACATACTTAGGACTCTTAGGAAAAGTTTTAAAAACAAACAGAAGGAGTGAAAGTGGCCGGGGTCGAAGCAGATCATCGGAAACGAAGAAGGAAGCGGAACAGTGGGCTCAAAGGAGGAAAGAGCCGACTCCAGGAAGTTTGGAGGCGGCTCCCCCCTTTTTGGAGGCCGCTCCAAAGTGTTTTGGAGGCGGCTCCAAGCACTTTGAGCCTGCTCCAAAAGTTTTTGGAACAGGCTCCCTTCAAATTGGACATTCTGATATTTTTTTTTTACGAACTGTGGTTACTGTTTAAGCATGGGAGCTGTTATGATGGTTCTGGGATTTCACAGAGGAATTAGGAAGTTGATTTTGAGTGTTATTAAGACCTTAAATTGATTAAAGTTGACCTCTAAGTCAATGGGACAAACAATATGAAATTATTGAACTTTCTATGCTGCTAACAAATAGAAAATACTAAATTGCTAAATCTTGTTTTAAAAATTTAACGAATTGTAGTATGGACTCTAAACATGATATTAGGCTATACTAGAGCCACATTAAATAAATTAATGGCTTTGCACTCTTGGAGTTAATCGTAGGAAAGTATACAACGGTGCCGGCTGTTAACGGATGGAAGGGGTTTAATTGCTTAATTTAATTTTTGCAATTTAACGGATTATATATATATTCATAAATCTTATTTTTGGTTGCATGCTAGGGTCATTTATATATCATGTTTGATCTATGCATATCTTGGATGTTAATTGTTGGAAATATTGATTCTGTATTGCGATACATGGAATTAAGTTTGGGATTTTAATTGCTGTAATATTAAGCACTACACTGCAATTATTGGGATTAGGGTTTGGACTTAAATTGCTGAATTAGTACTTAGGTTCTGTTAACCTAATTGGAGGTTGGCCTGGAATTAATTGAAGAATTAATTATATATATTTTCTGTCAATTACTTGGATGGATGCTAGATAATTAACTTGATGAACTATTAAACCTTGTCTTGTTAGTTACGTGGATGGATTCTGGATTATAGATAATAAACTGTTTAAATTCTGTTTATTATCTATTTGGATTATATGGATTTGTTTGATGTACTGCATAAAATGTTGCATCATTTACGGATCATATGCATGTATGTACCGGTATGGGACGGTGACATACGGAGGGACGGATTAGATCAAACGCTAATTCCAACCCACTTATACATACGGAATGGATTAACTAAAACAGTTAAATCCTATATGGTTTCATGTCTTGTCAACTAAAACAGTTGAACGACATATTGGATGGTTGCTTATATTTTCTATTAGTAGAATGGATAGGAATTTAATTAAAACATTTAAATCCTAATTTTATGTCGTGTCATGGCAACGAACTGTTGAGCGGCACTACATTGGTTTGGATGGGAATTTATATATATAAACTATGGTACCGCGATCTGAGCTTGAGTCTCATAGTCGACGGTTAGGGAGCGTATATGCAGTAGGATGTGTAGCTAGCTATGCTGGTTGAGGTATACCCTGTTAGGCTTAGGTAGTCATGCCCACTCAGGTGTGTTTTTGCATGTTACCTTCTATTCAGATTGAGACCCTCAGCATAGGCTAGTGAGAGTCCTGTAGTGTGGTTATATGTATATATCTATTTACGGACTATATAGATATGGTTAGAGACATTTAGGATGTATCTGCGTATCGGGTCTCTGTTTGGATTGTAGTTAGAATAGAACTTGTTCGTGGGTCTGACCCACTATTGTTTTTCAGGTAACGGACGGTATCAGGTCTTAGAGCTTGTTCGTGCTGAGGAGAGACGACTACTCATTCTACCAACGACGTAGGTGGTTCCTGTATAGTTTAGCGTTGGATTCCTTTCCGGTGGTTCATTTCTCAGTGTTGGTTTTATTAGTGGTCCACCAAATGAATTTTCGAGTTGTATTAGAATTGAAAAAGTTGGCTGTATCAGATTAATACTTTCTTTATAAAAAATTTATTGTGAGGTTTTTAGTTTTGGTTTATCATTCTAGTTTCTTTCAGCAATTTATTTATTCCTGTTTTCTTAATTATATTCTGTGTTCATTTATTGGTAATTGGTTTGATATCCTCGGGTAATCGGGCGTGGGCCTGGCCAACCCGCATCTGGAAATCCGGGGGTATCACATTTATACAACAGTAGCCATGAAAAAAAGAAGGAATTCAACTGAACAGGGCAACAAAGAAGCAGAGAAGTCAGACGATGAACAAATTCAAATATCGGGTTGTTCGTTTATAGATTTTCTAAGTCCTATATTGGTTGATATTCTACTAAAACTCGATGTAAAGAGTATTCTAATTTGCAAGTGTGTGTGCAAAACTTGGCGTAATATTATTTTGGATCCTCAGTTTGCCAAGCTGTAATTTGAGTAAGCAGAGCCTTGTCCTCTGCTTCAGACGAAATTGGATGTAAGGCCCGCGACACGTGTGTCAAGAACTCTTTACTTGGTTGAGCTTGAAAATTTCCAGAATTTCGATCTCGGGAAATGCTTTTGTTATTTGTTTTATAGAGTGCTAAAATATTTTCATTGTGACCGTCATGTTAACATGAAGCTTGAAACCAAATTTAAGATCCCATTGCGCAATCCTGAAACGGTACTCGACGAAGAAGGTGATGCCCAAATGGGATGCCTCCCTAAAGGCCCAGATGGGGCTAAAAGAAAACCCTTCATCAAAGTTACTGCTAATCATCAAAGATTCAAAATTGCGAATTCATGCAATGGTTTTCTTTACTTGTCTAAACCATTTGGTCACTGTGATCACCCTATTGTTGTGTGTAATACATTGATGCTTGTGAAGTTGTGATATTTTTGCTTTATTTGGAAAACAATTTTTGCATTCTTTATTTCGTAACTCCAGAAGGCAAAAAGCATAAGTTAACTCTCAGTTTTCATCTGCTTTTGGAAAGAAATTCCTGATCTCCATTCTCAACTCTCTTGCACACGAATTAGATTATTTATGCTCTTATTCAACTTTGAAGCACCAGTGTTTGCGATTGAGTCGGGACTCAGAAGGAAAGATCAAAGATCCACTCTTTGATTTACATCATTTACACGTACAACTTATTTTATTTTATTTTATATTATACAATTTAGATACCTGATTTGTTTTATACAATTTACAGGTTAAACTTTTATATATATATATATATATATATATATATATATATATATATAATTTATACAATTATACAATTTACATAATTTAGTTAGTTTTTTTTTTCGTTTTTTTTTTTTGTATGATCTGGTTACTGCAACACCCAAATCACTAATGTTGATTTTTAAGTCAATTCCTGTGTGGGTCGGTGTTTATTCGTCGAATTTTCTTGCAATCTGATTTGGGTTTTGTTTTTCTAGTAGTTCGATCTATTTTCCAATCGACGGATCGTTTTATTGTGTGTTTTCCTTGGGAATTACATATATAATATAACACAGTTTTTTTTTTTACTCATATTATCTGGAAATTGCTTGATCAATGTTGTGATGCTGATTGATATGTCTTTTTTTATTATTTATTTTTATCAATGTTGTGATGATGCTTACCTTTTTCATACTCTATGGAAATTGAATTGTTTTATTATTATTTTTTAATCAATGTTGTGATGCTTACCTTTTATAATATTTTGATTGTCTTTTTTTAAAAAAATAATAATAATAAAAAAATCAATGTTGTGATGTTTTCCTCTTTATTAGGTAGATAGAAACATTTCTATACATTGATTGGGAATTGGGGATTTGTACTATATATGTGCTCAGTCTGTAGTTATATATAATGTTTGTGGGTGTGAATATTGGATTATTCTGCTTGTAGATTATAACTCCCATTATAGTTTCAGGATGCTTTAGTGCTGTATTTGTTTAATTTTACTCAGGCACTGATGATAATTTGTGTATACTGTATTTAGACGGTTTCAAAGTTTAGAATATATTTACAATTACAAGTTTACAACCAATTTTTTGCGTGATCGTGAATAATATATTTCTTTTTAAAACAGTTATGCAGAAAATTGATTAAATATTTAAAAGAAAATCACAGTTAACACCCCCTGTAGAGAGAATAAATGATGAAAGTTTAAAGCAAAGTCGTATCGACGTCAACTTTGACGATCTTCTAGCAGATCCAGGACTACGAACTTGAATACTGGATTATCATCCTAAAATTCGAGACAAGCTACGTAGAGCATATTATCTAAAGGGCCCTTGTCAGCCTGTGACTCATAAATTTCCTTATAGAAATTTCGGGAAAAGGACACGTCGTTTCAACCCTGCTTGGTTTAGTGCTTATTCTAATTGGCTAGAATATAGCATAGCCAAAGATGCGGCATTTTGCCTATGTTGTTTCCTTTTCAAGCCTGATATTGGAGAACAATCAGAAGGTGACTCCTTTGTAGGTGAGGGGTTTTCAAATTGGAAGAAGAGTGAAAGACTCAAAATTCATGTTGGAGGCCCTAATAGTCTCTATAACCAAGCTTGGAGATCTTGTGAAGCTTTGATGAACCAAAATCAACACATTCCAACAATTTTCTACAAGCAGTCAGACCAAGCTAAAATTGAATATCGAACTCGTTTGACTGCATCAGTTGAATGTATCCGATATCTTTTACACCAAGGACTTGCATTTCGTGGGCACGATAAATCTGAGGATTCAAACAATTAAGGGAACTTTCTTACACTTTTGAGATTTCATGCTGATCACAATAAGGATGTAAAAGCCGTTGTATTGGAAAATGCTCCTGCAAATCTGAAATTAACGTCACCTGAGATCCAAAAAGAAATTATTAATTCCATTTCAACATAGATCATCAATTTTATTATTAGAGATATTGGAGATGCATTTTTCTCTATTTTAATTGATGAGTCTCGTGATGTATCAATAAAGGAACAAATGGCTATTGTGTTACGTTATGTGAAGAATGGGAGTATCATTGAGCATTTTATTGGTATGGTACATGTTAGGGATACAACTGCTCTCTCACTTAAGGCAGCGATTGATAATGTATTTTCTACACATGGATTGAGCATTTCTAGACTGTGTGGGCAAGGTTATGATGGGGCTAGCAATATGCAAGGCGAGTTCAATGGTCTGAAAATGCTTATTTTGAAAGAGAACGAATTTGTTTTTTTTGTTCATTACTTTGCTCACTAACTTCAGTTCGCTCTTGTTGCTGTGGCAAGGAATCATAGCCAAATTTCCACTTTTTTTCTTATTTGTTACTAATGTGGTAAATGTAGTTGGAGCATCTTGTAAACGCCGTGATATGCTTCGAGAGAAACAAATTGTTAAAGTTATTGAAGGACTTAACAATGGCGAGCTTTCAAGTGGGCAAAGCCTAAATCAGAGCACTTATCTTATACGGCAGGGAGACACTCGTTGGGGGTCACATTATGGTACTTTAATGAGTTTAATTACAATGTTCTCATATGTAATTGATGTTCTCGAGATTATCGAAGAGGATGGATTTAGATCCGACCAAAGAGGTGAAGCAACTATTCTACTTGGGACAATACAATCCTTTAATTTTGTATTCAGTCTTCATTTGATGACGACAGTGTTGGAAATGACATATGAATTATCAAAAGCACTACAAAAGGAAAGATCAAGATATCGTGAATGCTATGTCTTTAGTCAAAGTATGTAAGCAACAACTACAAATGATGAGGGGGATGGATGGGATTCTTTACTCGAAGAAGTTTCTTCATTTTGTGAGAGACATGGGATTGATGTTCCCAATATGGATGATAAGTTCTTTGCTCAAGGATGACGACGACGTAATATGGAAGAAATGACCAACTTGCGTTATTATCGTGCTGAGTTGTTTTATTCAGTGATAGATATGCAACTTCAAGAGCTAAATAGTCGTTTTAGTGAGGCTAGTTCTGAGTTACTTCTTTGTATGTCATGTTTATGTCCAGATGATTCATTCCTTGCTTTTGACAAACAAAAGATAATTCGTTTTGCTGAATATTATCCAAAAGAATTTTCTACAGTCAAGCTTAGAGAACTTGATAGTCAACTTACGAATTATATTATTGATGTGCGCTCTGCTAGTACCTTTGAAGGATTGAAAGGAATTTCTACTCTTGCAAAAAAAATGGTGGAGGCAAAAAAGGACAAGGTGTATTCGTTGGTGTATTTACTTGTGACATTGGCGTTGATCTTACCGGTTGCGACTGCCACGGTGGAATGAACATTTTCTGCTATGAATATTGTAAAGAATGAATTGCGTAATCGAATGGGAGATCAATTTATGAATGATAGCTTGGTTGTATATGTAGAAAGAGAGATATTTAGGAGCATAGATAATGAAGCTATCATACAGCGCTTTCAAAAAATGAAATCCCGTCGAGGACAATTGTAATGTATTGAATGAAAATATTATAAAAAAATCTATATTTTGGTTCTTATATCTGTCAAACATTTTAACTTTGTCCTTTTTCAGTTGAACAATAAATTATTTTATTTGAATTTTTCTTTCTCATTACCGAAAAACATCTTGTTAATTTGCTTGTTAGTTTAAGATTAAAATAATTAAACAAAATCTTGTTTTCTTTGGTTCTCAGGATTCACAAAGTGCTTGGACTGGAGATGGAGTATGATTGTTTTCCGATGGCTCAAAATTCAACCGTTATCTCAGCATGCATAGGTAATTTTTTGTTGTACCTTAAATCAATATTCATATTTAATTAAATCAATACTTGAAAATTTTGTGATTTTGCTATGATTTTTTTTGTTTGCCTTTTGATATGAAAAAAAAAAAAAAAAAAATTTTCCGTCAAATACACTATGCCCTCTCTCAAATGAAATATTGGCTTCGCCCCTGATCACAGGTGGATATATAAACCTTCTAGTGGTTGTGGCTGATTGGTGTGACGGGAATTTCAAGTATATCTTTGGTTTCGGATTGGACTTCAGTCCAAGAACTAATCAATACAAAGTGGCTAGAGTATTTGATCAATACAGTCTCAATCCCATTACAGGCAAGGAAGAATATGACTGTACTAAGGTTGAGATACACACACTTGGCTCGGGATCATGGGAAAACATGGGTGATGTTCCCCATTATAAGCTAGAATTCCCAACCTATTTGAATGGAGCGCTTTATTGGTTCCATAATGACACAAACATTTCTGTTTATATAGTTTCTTTTAACCTTGATGACGAGCAGTTCCATTCAGTTCTTTGTTTGTCTGAACCATTGCCTCTTATTGCTTTTCACACTTTTAATTGAAAGAAATGAATAGTGTGTAGTTATGGATAAAAAAAGAAATGAAGAAATGGAGAAATAAAAAATTTACAAAGGAAAAAAAAGAATTGAAGCAGACATGAGGAAAAAAAGAATTGAAGCAGACATGGAGAGAGAGAGAGAGAGAGGAATTGGGTTTAGGGTTGGGGGTCCTTATATGCACAATTAGTGAGCGCCTTATATGCACAAATAGATGAGGGGCAAAATAAGATACAAAAGCATAAAATGGGGTTTTCAATTTTACTTTTTGTAAAAAATGGTCCGATGGACTAAATCTGCACCTTTTTTGAATTTTGTGGACTTGCATGCACATTTTCAAAAAGTAGGGACTAGTTTTGCACAAAGTCTATATATTAAGGGGGTTTTATGCACTTAACCCTAATATTATGTATAGAAGATATTCAAGGGCAAAAATATAATATATACCACATTCAGATTTCAGCATTTGCATTGAACAAACAATCTTAATATATTCAATACTTAAAATTTAAGCCCTTAAAATTCAGTACTTGAAATTTTCAATACTTAATTTTCAGTTTTATCAAACAGCACCTTAGTCTAGTTCTTTTAAGGCATGCTCATTGGGGCGTAATTCTGAGTTAAAAATTCAAAATTTTACAAAATTTTAGGTCTTACTTGATTTATAACTTTGATAACAGTTTTATGTTCTTAGAAAACCGAAAATAAAAAACTCTGCTTGGTTCAGTTTTTTAAAAACTAGCAGAATTTTGTTTTGAAGAAAGTTGTGAAAAAATATTATTTTGTTAATTTGGATAACATGAAAAGAAAAAGAAAATGATTCTACTTACCGAAAATACCTATATAATTTTAAATAATAAAAAGATAAATAAATTTACGTTAGATGACTATTATTTATACTTAATTATTTATTTTGCCAAAGAAATAGTGAAATGTGGAATAGAATAGTATGTGATATCATAACATAATTTTTTGCATTCTCCTATTTTCTTATGTTACTTTTATTTTTATTTTTTTATTATTTATTTATAAATGATGTAATTGGATATTATATATCTAATTACAACTTTCTCGGTTGAGAAAATTAAAAGTCATGGATTGACTTTTAACTTTCTCAAAATAATATTTGATGTTAGGTATGAAACGAATTGTATTAACTTTCTCTTCTTATGTTAGTTTTATTTTTATTTTTTATTATTTCTCAAAATAATATTTGATGTTAGGTATGAAAAGAATTGTGTTAAAAGTACACTAGTTTCACCAAACACTTTTTCTATTAACAAAATGTTATGTATATATATATTATAACTCTTAATCATTATCAATTATAGAAAAAATATTTATATATCTTACTTATTTAAGACCTTTCGAAAAAAGATTGAAAAATAACAATTCAACAATGAAAGGAAAAAATAAATTAATTTTGGATGCACACATCAGAATACAAACAATTAAATCAGTAATACATTATTGTATAAACACGCAATTTAGAGAAGAAAGAGACTCTCTTTTTCAATGATGTCCGTGTAATTAAGTGAATACAAGAAAGACAACTAAGTATAATAGGAAAATAATATATAAAGTGCACAATTTTTGTGGAAAAGTGAATTTTTGTGTATTTTATGCATGTAAATTTGATGCGGGAATCCTACCTTCCCTCTAACCAAATTTTCAAAAAGTTTAAATATTTTCTTTTTCTTTTCCTTTCTGGCTAGTTGACGCTTATTAAATGGACCCTTAAAAACTCAAATATTTACCATTTATTTTTAAGAGATAGAGAAGAAAACACTAGGCCAAAATACAGTAAACGGTTGATATATCATATGGATGCTTAATTTGTTTGGTTTATCACCATTTGCATTTGACTTTCATTGAAGTCCTCCGCTCAATTATTATTTTATTACTAATATATTTATATCTGAGAGAGATGTTTATGAGAGATTAGGTATTAGAATTTTTATTTTTTATGTTTTATTTTTTTACAAGAGAAATGTATTATTGGATCACTTGGGAACTTGTAGATATATTTATGGATCAATCAAGATTTATGCTTCAGGCCCATTTCCAGAATTTAATACGAATTGTGTCAATTTTATGGATCCTTGGTTGTACTAATGGTGTTGTTGATTTACATCTAAAGCTTCATATGAGATGACAAGCATGTTCATGCTACGCGTGACACGGCCAAAATCAAACTAACAATAATTGACTTGCTAATTATGATGTGCAAGTGCAAATAGAGTTCCGAGAGATGAATCCTGGAGTACTCAAAATCAAACTCACAATAAGTGCAAAGTAAATGCGTAAAGCTTACATGTGGGTGTGTCGTGCACTGCAATGGTACAACAACATAATCAAGATCTGGACATCTTGAGTGTATAAAATACCCAACATCTCAAGGGACTCCGATCCTCTTCTTCACTTTTATTTCTTTGTCAATTGTAGCATTTTAAATAACTGTTGTAAAATTTAATTGTGTCAACTTTATTTCTTTGTCAATTGAAAATACCATTTTTTTGTCCTATAGAAAGTCTGTCAATATTTCGGGTTATATTTCGTGTTGAAGTTTTATTTTTTTATTTTTTTTTTAAGTTGGTACTCGCACACACATGGCTCCACCGAGGCTCGAACACCTGAGTTCCTTTTTAGGAAGTAGAAACCTGTTACCGCTAAGCCATTGGGCTGTTGATTAGTTTTCTCATTATAAATATATGTAATGCAGAGTTCAGAACCATTCATTCGATTGCAATATCAAATTTCTCTAAATATGTCTCTTGCTTTGTGGATTCAAAGACACCGTAATTTCTGAATTTAAAGTAATATAACACTATGTTATATCACGAATGCAAAAGTTCCAGTGCACCTGAATAATAATAATCTTAGTTTAACTCATAATTTTGAATTGTTTAAAAAGTAAACTGTGTTAACGATAATGTAATTTTTTGAAATATTTAATCACCAATGATTCATTGCAATCAATTGCAAATGATAATTACTTAAAAAAAAAAAAAAAAAAAAAAAAAACAAAAAAAAAAAAAGAAGAAGCGGGAAATAGATGATGACACTGTTGACAATAAATTTATGAGAGATCATATAAAAAAAAAAAAAAAATTAAGAGTTTGTTTAATTTGTAACTCGAAAGACAGTTCTCAAAAATTCAAAAAATAGAAAATAGTTTTTTCTTTGAAAATATGTCTTTTTATAATTGAATTTTCAAAAAACTGAATCAAACAAAGTTTTTTATATTGTTTCCTGTTTACAGTTTTCTAAGAATAGAAAATTATTCTTAGAGTCACAAACCAAACAGACTTTGTAATTCTGAACACAGTTTCCAAAGATATAAAACAGTTTTCAGAGATTAATAAAAGACTCATTTTTTTAATTTCACTTTCACTTTACATAAAAAAAAAATAATAATAAAATAATATGTGTGTTTTACTTGTCAATTAAAAAAAAAAGGATAATACTTCAGTCCTACGATTCTTACTCCCATAAAGACAAATTGTGTCATGCATACTAACTTGTTCCAATATTGACACATTTTTTAAATCTAAAAAGATACAAAACATGGTTTATACCCATTTTTAGGGTTAAACCCGATAAATTTATTTTTTTCCACTCTTTGCTCTCATCTGTGTGTCTCACTCACATATTCATCTGCATTCCTTAACTCCAGCTACCAATCATTTGACCATAGAATTGAGTGAAAGAATGAATAACTTGCATATATAGTATCCATACAAAATAGTTGAGGTAGATTTTGAAAAGAAAGAAATAGAAATGGTTAGTTCAATTTTTTTAATGATAGTTTTCTATCTTAAAAAAATTAAAAATAACAGAAAAATGTAGAAAAGACAAATTTCCATGAGTTATTCTCTAAAAACAAAATTAGAAGAGGATACATTCAAAGTTTAGTAATTTTAGAACTATTTTAGATTTTATTTTTTATATGATTCTAAAAAACTGCTTGAACTTTTTAAGAATTAAAAGAATTTTTATTATCCCAAAAAGTGGAGGTTTAGTAGGAAATATTAGAATTTGGAATCATTGGCTGCGGGACCTAAGGGAAAAGAAAGATGTGGATGACAATGTGAGTGAGATATATAGATAGGAGCAAAGAGAGGGAAACAAAAAACATAGATTTGTTGGGTTTAAACCTAAAACATGGGTATAACATATATTTTGTATTTTTTTAAGTTTAAAAGAGGTGTCAACGTCTTATTGTGACACGTTAGTGTGCATGACACAATGATGGATCAGGACTGAAGCATTATCCCAAAAAAAAAAAAATCCAATATAGCAACAGTTCATCAACCACCTATATGGGCTTTCACCCACGGGCCTTTCACTCAAGAGCTCACAAGCCCTTCTTGTTTATGTCCAACAATCTCCCAAGTGAATCTACAGTACACAATAAAGCCCAAACAATTTCCATCCCATATATAGAATAATAGAATTAATTTCATATCCATATAGCATACAAAATAAATAATACGTTTTTAACAAAAATAAATAAATAAATAATACGTTTATATTAGCAAAATTTAATACGAAGAAAACAACCTTAGGTATAGTACTTTAATGATAAAATTAAAAAATATATATAGCCTTACATGGTATGGTAATATCTAATGTAGACCCAGATACACCTATAAAAAGAGTAAGAATTGTTTTGTGTAGAAGGTAAACAACAATTGGATAGACCAAAACTCACCTGAGATCGAGTAATTAAAAATAATTTAGAAAAATATAAATTTAAAAGAGGATGTATTAAAAATATAAAATAATTTCATAGATGATTCATTGGCAATGATGATGATGATATTAACGAAATTTCATGTCAAAATAAAATACAGTATGCTAATTAATAAATGTCTGTCTTCACTTATAAATTGGCATGCTCTGAAAAACACTCAATAAATCATATATAACAGCAAGATCTAATTGCATCAAGAAAAATGGCAAACCCAAATATCAAATTCGAAATAAATAAAAGACAAACAATTGTACAAAACTATACAAGCATGTCATAATTCATACGTAATGTATATTTAATCAAATCTCTAAAAGATCAATGAAGAATAAGCAAGAAGGAAACTCCAATATATATATATTTGGACAGATATTAACAATATAATTCATACTCTTGGTTTCTATGTGTGAAAATGTTGCTTTTAAAAACTATTTTCATAATTAGACACACCCTAAATCCTATTTAAACTTATTTATTAATCCTAAATTGACTCAAATATTTAAAACTATTTAAAACTAATTTTCCTCAATTTTCTAAATTTAAATTCAAATATTATTATTTTTGTATTTACGGTTGGGTCCAAAAGCAAGCCCAGTTGTATGGTGGGCTCTTGGGTGAGTGGAGTCCAGTGGACCCAACCAATGGCCCAAAACACAACCTTGGTTTCACGCCCTGAGCAATTACCTGAGCCCTAGCTTGCATTTCCAGCCTCTTATAACACAGTATCCAAACTTAATTAACTCCTAAATTATGGGTTTTTCAAATTTAGATCATCAAACGCAGTTTACATCTATAAGTTCAACTTTCATTATAATTCGTGACAAAATGAGAAGAATTTTTGCCCCAAATCCATGTTTCGGCCATGGCATTCTTAAATCCCTCTAATTCATTCATGTATATTCAACGTAGATATACATACATACATACATATATTCATTTTTTTCTTTTTTCTTTTTTCTTTTTTTTGATAAGTACATACATATATTCATTATAAATATATATATGTATATATATAGTTTAATATTCATATGTTTCTCCTGTTAGGATACTATCACTAATTCTATTTTTTCTTAATTTATTGAATACTTAATTATTATTTTTACAATTTTAGTCTTTAATTAACCACCAATTTGTGTTATTAAAACTCGAATTAAAAAAATGTTTTCGGATATATCTAATCATAATTATGAAATTTCAAATTTGAATATTATTTAATTGGTAATGATCGGTTAAGAAGCTTAGATGTTGTATTTGGTTAATAGATCAAACTTGTTTTCATTTGATCAAATCACATTACAATGCCGATTGGTTGGTGGCAAGTGACGTATTACTTAAGTGCCCATTTAACAAATAACTACTAACCCCTAATATATATATATATATATATATATATATATATATATTGATCTGTTTCTATTTAATTATTATTATTATTATTATTTATTATAATTATGAGCATGGATTGCTCGAATTTGTCTTGTGTCATCAATAAAAAGTAACCCAAAATTAATAAAACAAGTGTTTCCATGTTTGAGATATGCCATAAAAACCTTCCAAAATTAACCAAAGCTGATTTTTTTGTTAATTTCAACACTATAAATATGCTTCTTAGGATCCTCAAAACATGAGAGAAACACAAATACAAGAAGGGATTAGAATAAAAATATTGAGAGGCACAATTTTGTGAACTTCTTCAATCCCAATCACGTTAAAGTGTAAAACTTTCGGGATGTTTTCGCCACCCAGACCCGCCGCCAACTAGTTCAAATCCGCCCGGACGTTAGACCCGCTTTAATAACGGGTTAGAATAAGAGAGCCAAAGAACTAACCCTAGCCAGCTCTCTCTCTCTCCTCGATTCTCCCCCCTCTGATCTGCATCTCTCCCTCTCTCTGATTCTGTTTCTCTCTCTTTTTTCGATTTTCCATCTCTTCGTATAGAAGCCCTAATCTCCTAAGAATCTGAAATTATAAACCATAATCTTCTCAGCCCTAATATATTCTGATTTCTGTTAACAGATTTTATATGTTTGTGTCGAGCAAATCACGAAGATCGAACGCTTGAAGCATCGGATTAGAATTTGAATGTTTGAAAGGAAAAACCAACCAAAAACCAGATCAGGTTCTTCTTCTTCTTCTTCTTTTCCTTCTTTTCCAGCCCTAATATATATATATGTATTTGTAAGACTTTGTAGTGGATTTGATTGATGCAATAAACATGATTAACTTGGTCACTATGTGTTTCTTCATTTGTTACAGTATAGATATATATTGATCTGAGCGCACGTGTTCCTTAATTTCTGATGTCATTTGGTTGACTGGGCGACAATTCACGTTCTGCTCGAGTCTATTGATTAAATCCATAGACTAGACTTTGTGGTCTAGTAGTGTTTACATGTTCTTAATTCAGTGACAAATAAAGCCCATTCGATTCCTTGTGCATTAATTACACTTGGATGTTAGTTACTTTGATTTCAGTTGTCCTGGACGCCTCTTATGGATTGCCTTGATGATCTGTTTCCTTTACTTTGAAGTCTCTAATAGCATAATGCCTAGAAAAGTTACAGTTTCTTTGCCTTTTATTTTACCTTTTACTCTGTTTTTTTAAATTATCTGTTTTTCTGAGTGGATGGTTAGGAATTAAAAAAAGTTGGATGTACACAAGAAATTTCTGCCGTTGGATTTATTCCAGGAGTGATTGTGAAATAAGCATTTTTTCATGGATGGTGGCTGGTTACTCTAGGAACGTTGAATATCACTGGGAGTGTGTTTACATTTTTCTTGAAATAAATAGATAGCTAATTTGTTGCAGCAACGCAACTATTTATTATGTATGCAATTTGTAAAGACTACTGTGAAAAAAGATTAGAAAGTCTGTAGTTACCAAGATGATTAATGGGACCAAGTTAATAAAGAAACGGAAATATGCCAAGTGTTGGCTGAAAAATCTAAAAGGTGAATTAGATTGCATGTATGTGTGTAAAATATTCAGGTATTCTACTAGAGAGTACTTCATCACAGGGTAACTCACTTGGCTCTTCCTTAGACAGTTTCATTCTGTGTGGTTTTAAACTAGCTGATGCATTTCTTTCTTTCTTATTAATATGTGATACAGTATCAACACAACTGTTCCTATTTTGATATTTTCTTTCCTCTGCCACTCAGCAACCAATGACACACCTTGCGTGGTTCAAAAGAACTGAAATACTCTATTGCATTATGGGTGCTTCTGGAGTTCTTTATGCTAATATTGTGTTTTACATCATGGAAGCATGTGTTGTAGATGTGAATTTGAATTACACTTGCAAGAAAGATAATTTGGATAATCATATTGGTTAGGATTATAGATTTTTAATTTTTTTATGGGGTTTGTTTAGAACAATGACTACAAATTTGTGAGTTGTGATATGATACTGTATGAAATGGACATGCTGATGTGGAAAGTGTAAGACGATTAGGATATATGGATATGCTATGGACACTTCAGCATGGATATAGCTGTGTGTCTGTATGTGTATAAACATCTCAAAAATTTGTTGTGATATAAATACATTTGAACAAAACCTTTTTTTTCCAAACGAGTCTATTAAATAATATAGGTTTTATGACGCATAATATTAAAATTTCCATGAGAAAAACTTAGGGTCAGTATGTGTTTATATGGATTTAGGACCAAATTAAAACAATCTTCCTCATTTTATCTCAAATCTGCTTCTTTAAGAGATGGTTTTGTAGTTGGAACCCTTGTCCTGTTTTTTCTATCAATTATATTTAATAATAGAGATGTTGCAACCAAATGTTTAAGGCATCTCAAAGACATGCTTTGGAGTATCCAAGAGTTGCCTGATATTTGTTTAAAGTTAAAATAATTACTTTCAATGCATTTAGAAAGAAACGGGCATGTATCCGCAAGTATTTGAGTATATTTATAAAATGTTGATATGATAATGACACGATTACCCAGTAAAAATATTCATTCTTGATAGGTTTAAAACTACTTGTATTCTTGATAGGTATTTTCACTGAATCTAGTAGCTTATGGTTTATCAAAACATTTGTTTTCTTGTATAGCAAATGGTCTTGTTTCTTGACTTGTCTTCTACAAAATTTTTTGACAGTGTTGTTGATTTATGCACTGTAATTAAGTGGCTACTCGCTAAATATCTGGTTTCGGTTTTGTTCTTCCTAGTCACAGTTCTGGGTTTTGCGGCTCTACTATCTTCATGGAATCTGCATAGTAGGATCCACTCCTGGTTTTATGAAATTGAAATGTCCTAGAAGCAGATCCTTGTGACTGGTTTGACATATTCTGTTCAGCAGATTGTGATCATGTCAAAGTTGAAAGAATTGGTTTGCGGTTTCCATTTTTATTCCCATGTCATATGCATATGAATTTATAATATATGCAATTTGATTCTATTGAAATAGAAGAGAAAATGGAATAATTTGATTTCATTGCTCATGTTGGAACTTTGTTTTGCGAACTCATATATGGGTGATCTATAAAGGGTTGGCTTAGACCATAATTGGGTCTACTCTCTTCATTTCAAATTGCAAGAACTGCATGCTTCCCTTGAATCCCTTCACAGTATAATGGAATTGTTTTTTTCTTTCCGTAGTTGCATTATAAAGTTTATCTACTTGGACAAATAGTGCTTATCAAAAAAAAAAAAAAAAAAATCTACTTGGACAAATAATATCACCCTGTTTCAATAATTTGGTTTAATGGGAATGAATTATTAGCCTTTACAACATGAAACATACGTTATATATTGTTTATGTCATTTTCAATTAGTTTTCTTGGCAAGCAGACTCAATTTTTTTCTTTTCTTTTCATCTTTTTCCCAATTTTTGTAAACATCCTAGTTTGCTACTTACATCTTTTGTGAATCAGATTTGAGACTATTTTAAGCCCTGGATTTTGTTAGTGTATACTGAAATAATTTATAAATATGTGAGGGTCTCAGTAAGTTTAGATTTTGATACTTTCTTAAGTGTGATAAATTATACACGCATGAATGCAATTTCCACGTCCGTACCTGTGTACTAATGCCCGATTTTGTGATTTTTGAATTCAAACTTGGTGTTTTATGTAAAATAAATAAAAATAAACTGCAATTACTTTAAAATTTTAATTATCATCTGTAGTCTTTTTTAGTTGATGCAAAATTGTTGGCGTTCAAATTTAAAAGGTTTTTAGCTTTTAATAGCTTGTTGAACATGAATTAGTCATTTTAAGGCAATGGCGCACACTGCTTATTTTTTATTTGTTTTGAAGTTTGAGGCATAATGGTGGTTCATGTTTTTGGCAGATTGATTTGGTAGTTGTGCCAAATACTTCGTATGCGTATATATATGAGATGGCTTCTGGAGGAAGACCATTATTTGATCTTAATGAACTCCCTACTGAGGAGGATGAAGAGAGCAATGATGTTTCTTGTATTCAGCCCCAAAGGGCAGTTCCATCTTCAAATACACACACTTCTGAATTGCTTATATCATCAAGTGGTGGTTCCCAGAGAATATTAAATAATCATGCTTTCTCCCATGCATCATCTGTTTCGGGTTTTCAGCCTTTTATTCGACCAAAAGGTGTTCAGGGATCTAAAGTTTGTGCTGAACAGAGTATGTTAGTTGATATGAGCTCCAAGGTTGCTTCATCATCTAAGACAAGTAATAGTGGGGATGCAAAGGTAACACCACAGTTAGATTTGGGTTCTGCAGATGATCAAGCTGTTGAAAAGGAGGAGGGAGAGTGGCTTGATGCAGATGTCTCAGCTGAGGCATATGGTAGCAGTAGTATGCATAAACGGTCATTTTCTGGTTATGGTAAAGATTCACAGGAGAAAGGCACGGCTGAGATGATGGATGGTTGCAATTCCGATGTTGCTGCTGAGAATGTCTCTAGAAATGATGAAAGTATGAGAGATGAGAAAGGTGATCTTGCTTCTTTAGGGTTGGATCCAGAGACCAACAACCGAAAAAGCAGTACTAGTCGAGATTCAGAAGGCATTAAAGGCGATGTTTCCATGGATAGTCAGGAAGAACCTGGGTTGGTTGTAAAACAGAGGGATGTTAAAGGAGTTGAAGCAAGTCCTGCACAAAAGTATGCAAATAATCCTGGAAAGCGGACTAGGTTTGATCAACAGAAGGAAGCAATGCTAGGAAAAAAGCGTAGTAGGCAGACAATGTTTCTTAATTTGGAAGATGTCAAGCAAGCTGGTGTTATTAAAACTTCAACCCCAAGAAGACAGAACTTTCCAACACCCGTTACCACTCGTACTGTGAAAGAAGTGCGTGCTGCTTTTCAACCTCATGAAGTCATTGGAGAAAAGCAGAATCAGCCGTTGGTCAAGGACCAAAAACAGGTTGATTTGTCTCGTACTGAAGGAAACACTAACGTGGAATTTAAAGACTCGAAATCAGAATGTAATGGTGATACACATACAGGATTATTAGCTACTAGGCCTCGGAGGCTGAATAGTATGACAGATCTTGGCGCTGAGGTTAACCCATCTTCCATTCCAAGACAGAGTTCATGGAAGCAGCCCACGGAATCGAGGCAGCTCAAGAATTTGCAGGTCTCTACTGGGAAGCCTGCTTTAATCACTCAAAGCTCCATGGATCAGAAATTAGTAACCAAAAAACTCCCTTCCAAGAAGCAAACTACAGTCAGCACCCAATATCAAGATACATCAGTGGAACGTCTCCTGCGGGAGGTGACTAATGAAAATTTTTGGCATCATCCAGGTATCTAAAATATTATTTCGTCGTGTGAATTTATGAACTCTTGGACTGAGTTTTTGGTGATGTACTTTCCCACTAGTTCCTTCTCATCTTTTTTATTGCTACAATTTACATTTAATTCAATACTGGATGGATAGTTCAATATTCCTTTCCCGGAGGACATAGAATTTTTTTTCTTTCCATCTAGCCTCAAGGTGTGTAAAACTTCATTTTAGATGAGATTTATATCTTCTGGACCATCTCGGGCTGCTCAAAAGACAAAGGTTTGCATTTATGTATGATTGGAAAACTCAGCCTCATGGTGGTACAAAAATACACTCAGAGATAGAACATTTGGTCAGAGTGTCATTACATTATTGCCACATGATAATTCATTTTCTTTTGGATCACTACCAAATAGAGAGGCTATACCTCTTTGTTGAAGTATAATGCCCATTATTATATTGTAATTAGCCTTTCAAGCTTCAAATTCTGACTGCTCTCATCCTCCTCTTGACCGTTCCCTCTAATTAGGACAAAAGTTTCAGCAACTATAGATACACATATATGTATATTTTCTGAATGGACATTTAAAGATAGATAGATACGTGGCACATAATTCTTCACTGTATTAAAATTTATTTTTTTAGTCATCTGAATCAGATGCTTCTTGTCCAACAGTTTTAATCAGTGTCAGAATGTATGGTGTATGATTTTATCTGCATCTCATGTGATCCTTAACCTGCATTTTATATGATATGAACGATAGTCTGCCCTTGGGAGGGGAACAACAGCTGGAAACAGCTGTTAATACCCCGTAGGCTGAGGAGCAAAAGGAGGAATCCGCTCGAGGAGGGTCTCCCTTCTGATTAGCTAGTTGGTGAGGCAGTAGCTTACTAAGGCGAAGCTCAGTAGCTAGTCTGAAAGGATGATCAGCCACTCTGGGGCTGAGACATGACTCAGACTGCCCGTCAGATGGAATTTTAAGGCAATTTCATACTGAAAAATTACAGTAATTGAGCTGTAGTCATGAATTTTGACAGGGATTTTATGTATGATATAGCTTAACCCTCCCCACCCCCTTTCAAATGACTAATTCAAGATGTAGTGACATTTATTACTTATCGGAAATTATGCGTATCTTTTAGATTTTTTGTTCCAACACATAGGATGTCTAATAGAAATTCACATTTTTTATCCGAGTGCTGTTAAAAGAACCTCACCTTGAAATTCTTTTATATGTCTTTTTAATTATTTATTTAGGTAAAGAGCTTCTATTTCCTGTGACTAACTTTGAAGGGGTTCAAATACTTTCTATATTAAACATAATCAAGTACCTTAAATGTAATTGTTATTTTAGAAAGATAGTTAAGTTTGTGATGATTATTTGAGTATTTTGTTGCCTCATTCATCCATAATGATGCTTCTTTGCTTTCTCTTTTTTTATTCCTTTTTGTCTTTTGTGGAGCATATTCCCTTCTATTTTCTGTACATAATACAAAATTTTAAAATTTGTGCATCAACAGAGGAGTCTGAACTCCAATGTGTTCCTGGTCGGTTTGAATCTGTGGAAGAGTATGTTAGAGTATTTGAGCCCTTGCTTTTTGAGGAATGCCGAGCACAGCTTTACAGCACTTGGGAAGAGTTAACTGAAACAGTTTCTAGAGACTTGCATGCTATGGTTCGTGTAAAGAACATTGAAAGACGAGAAAGAGGTACTTTGCCATTTACAATACCTCATTTCTATAGCAATTTTTTAATGTAAGCTGATACTGGATTGCTTAATGCATCGATGTTTCAGAACACATTCTATTAATCCTTGTTTTTGACACGTGAGCTTTATGTTGTTCTTGTAATCTTCCCTAGTTACCTATCATTTGGCTGTTAACTATGATTTTTAGTAATCCCAGTAATCCAAGTGTACATTATGTTGTTTTTCTATTTTCATTTTGTTAATGGATTGTTAATATATTTGTTTTGGTAAAAGCACTCGTGAGAGTGAATTCTAGTGTTTAATTTTTTAGTTTTGCAACTTTGAGTATTCTTTTAATGTTTTCCCCATATTGTCCTAGGATGGTATGATGTCATAGTTCTTCCAGCAAATGAGTGCAAATGGACATTCAAGGAGGGTGATGTTGCAGTACTTTCATCCCCAAGGCCTGGAACAGGTGAAATATTTAATGTGGAATTTCTGCTTATGCAGATCCGCATTATGTATATATATTGTTTAATCTTTAAATATATGAATCTTAACTCGTATTACATTAAGCAGTCAGATCCAAGAGGAACAATACTTCTACACTTGTTGATGACGAGGAACCTGAGGTCAGTGGCCGTGTGGCTGGTACGGTTAGGCGGCACATACCTATTGATACTCGTGATCCTCCTGGGGCAATCCTTCATTTTTATGTTGGGGATTCTTATGATTCTAACAGGTTACTTGAAGTTTCTCAAGTTTTTATTTCATATTTTGTGGTTATCTGAAAAATTCTTTGTTCTGGAATTTTGGCTATCATGTCAGTTATTGCAAGGTCTATTTACCATTATGTTGATTCTAAATTCCCCCCTTTTTTTCCAAATAATTTATTTTTCCAGCAAGGTTGATAATGACCATATTGTAAGGAAACTTAATCCAAAAAGCATCTGGTTTCTGACCGTGCTTGGTTCTCTTGCAACCACCCAAAGAGAGTACATTGCCTTGCATGCGTTTCGTCGCCTTAATTCGCAGGTGACGGCTGTAATCAAATTTCTGAAATAAATGATGTTTTCGTTTAAGTCTGGCAACAGATTAATGTCCTCTTTTTTGTAGATGCAAACTGCAATCCTTCAGCCTAGCCCAGAACACTTTCCAAAATACGAAGAACAGCATCCTGCTATGCCCGAATGCTTCACACCAAGCTTTGCTGATCATCTGCATAATTCATTTAATGGACCTCAGCTTGCTGCAATTCAGTGGGCTGCAATGCATACTGCTGCTGGTACAAGTAGTGGGACAACAAAGCGACAAGATCCATGGCCTTTTACTCTAGTCCAAGGGCCTCCGGGAACAGGCAAGACTCACACAGTTTGGGGAATGCTAAACGTCATCCATCTTGTTCAGTATCAGCACTACTACACTGCACTGCTTAAGAAACTAGCACCTGAAAGTTATAAGCAAATTAATGAGAGCACCTCGGACAATGTTGCCACTGGATCCATTGATGAAGTTCTCCAGAGCATGGATCAGAATCTCTTTCGTACTCTTCCAAAACTTTGCCCGAAACCTAGAATGCTTGTTTGTGCTCCTTCAAATGCTGCAACTGATGAATTACTAGCACGTGTTCTTGATCGTGGGTTCATTGATGGTGAGATGAAACTTTATAAACCCGATGTGGCCCGAGTCGGTGTTGATTCACAAACACGTGCTGCTCAGGCAGTTTCTGTTGAGCGTAGAACAGAACTGCTTTTAATGAAGAGCAGTGATGATATTTATCATTGGATGCACCAATTAAGAATGCGTGAAAATCACTTATCTATGCAGATAGCTACTTTACAAAGAGACCTCAATGTTGCAGCAGCTGCTGGTCGCGCCCAAGGATCTGTTGGTGTTGATCCAGACGTTCTTGTGGCACGGGATCAGAATCGAGACACTTTGCTGCAAACCCTTGCAGCGGTGGTTGAGAACAGGGATAAAATTCTCGTGGAGTTGTCCCGCCTTGTCATTTTAGAAGGCAGGTTTCGTCCTGGTAGCAACTTCAATTTGGAGGAAGCTCGTGCCAGTCTTGAGGCAAGTTTTGCCAATGAGGCTGAGATTGTTTTCACTACTGTCTCAAGCAGTGGTCGCAAGTTGTTTTCCCGTCTTACTCATGGTTTTGACATGGTTGTTATTGATGAGGCTGCTCAAGCTAGCGAAGTTGCTGTTCTTCCTCCCCTCGCTCTCGGTGCAGCACGTTGTGTTCTTGTTGGGGATCCCCAGCAGCTTCCTGCAACAGTTATCAGCAAGGCGGCTGGAACCTTGTTGTACAGTAGAAGCCTGTTTGAAAGGTTCCAGCAAGCAGGCTGCCCAACTATGTTGTTGTCTGTGCAGTATAGGATGCATCCTCAAATCCGGGAATTTCCTTCTAGGTATTTCTACCAAGGGCGTCTTACTGACAGTGAAAGTGTTGTTAATTTACCTGATGAAAGATACTATAATGATTCTTTATTAAGGCCTTACGTGTTCTATGATATTACTCATGGTCGGGAATCCCATCGAGGTGGGTCAGTATCATATCAAAATATACATGAAGCACAGTTTTGTCTCCGATTGTACGAGCACCTTCAGAAAACTTTGAAATCTTTGGGGGGTATGGAAAAGGAAAAGGAGAAGGAGAAGGTTTCCATAGGCATAATTACACCATACAAGCTGCAACTAAAATGCCTTCAACGAGAGTTCGAGGATGTTCTAAATTCAGAAGAAGGGAAGGATGTGTATATCAATACTGTGGATGCTTTCCAAGGCCAGGAACGTGATGTCATTATAATGTCTTGTGTCCGTGCTTCAAATCATGGGGTGGGCTTTGTTGCAGATATTCGCCGAATGAATGTTGCTCTCACTCGTGCAAGAAGAGCTCTTTGGGTATGGTTTTCTGTCATCTTTTATTAGCACATGTGCTTGTTGCCTGCACAGGCAAAATGCTTCAGTATGTGGTTTTATCTTACAATAACTGAGCTTGATGATTTAACAGGTCATGGGAAATGCCAATTCTCTAATGCGATCCGATGATTGGGCAGCATTGATTGCTGATGCCAAAGCAAGAAACTGTTATCTGGACATGGATTCTCTTCCTAAAGATTTCCTGGTGCCAAAAGCTCATGCTTATGCTCAATTTTCTGGTAAGTTCTCCTCTAATATGAGGGGTTTGAGATCTGGGGTAAGGCATAGATCATATGATGTACACATGGACTCCAGATCAGGAACACCGTCAGAAGATGATGACAAGTTGAACTCGTCATTAAATTTTAAGAACGGAAATTACCGTCCCTTAAAGCCGCCAATGGAGAACTCTTTGGATGATTTTGATCAGTCCAGTGATAAATCCCAAGATGCCTGGCAATATGGCATTCAAAAGAAGCAAAAGTCAGCTGGGATTGTGGGAAAGAGAGACTTGTAGCAATTGCTTGATGTACGCATATTATCTTCATGCCTTTGTGGGAGCTGCAAAGCATTCAAAGTTTGGAACTTTTTAACGTTTGCTCCTAGTTTCAAGAGCTCTTGGAGCATTCGTTCCTGATCTCGAGCGGAACCAAATCAATTCTGAACAGATTCTTGCTGAGTTTATGTAAGACAGTGAATGGAAGACACATATAAGTCAGCAAGTGAAGAAAGTGGGTTGGTTTTGTGAACAACTGATTTCTGTTTGACAGATTGTTATGAGTTCCCACAAAATGCTTCCTGGGTTTCTGGTGGGTTGTGTGGAATCAAAACCTTAGCCCACAGCTTTTACAGGAATCAAAGATTGGAAATCTCTTGTAGTTGCATGTGTTGACATATCTTCTGATTTGACTTAATCTGAAAATCTCCCGGTGTTCACTGCATTAGCGGATAAAAAATAACTCAGGAATTCGATGAGTGGAATCAAAAAGCATTTTGGGTTTTAGAGTTCGCGAGCTGCTTCCTTTGCCTGACAGAGTCTGGCCAAATTTGCCATCTCTTCCTGCATTGGATGATTTTCTTGGTATCGGGGGTAGAGCTGCTTCCGCTTGGACTTGCTGGGCTCACTTATCACAACATATAGCTGCTGCTGCTGCTGCTGCTGGACGGAATCCTGATTGGAAGTGTCTCAGCTTACAGAGTTGTTACATTTATCATGTACATTGTCGGGATGTTGGTCTGGAAGAGGGACAGTCGAGGAGTTGTTCTTGTAGGGTTAATTTTTTTGTTCTTCCATTTATTTGGAGGGGGACTTGAGATGCTGAAACATCAACAAGAAGTCACCTTTCTGTATAGAAAGAGGAAAGGAAATAGTAGTACAAGATAAACCTCTTTGCAGAGGCACTTGGAGGATGTCAGTGAAGTTTGTTTATGTACATAACTTTTAATATGTGGAATGATAGAAATTCATGTCAATGCATTGCGGCATTTATTAATTTATTTTTCTAGAAAGCTTCATTTCTGTTTTGTGTTTTTTTTTTTTTTTTTTCTTCTTATTTGTATCATAATTGCGCTAATTTATTGGACGCACAGCACATATGGGCATTGTTTTCAAGTTCCCTTACTCCCATAATACAATACGTCCCGTCAATGTAATGTTATTAACAGTCCAATTTAATATATATATATATATATATATCCTATTCACAAGTATTTTCTCTTTACGACATATTTCATTCCCAACTCGTCGAATTTAAATATTGATTAAGTAGCATGATGAGTGGATTTCAATTAATTTGGAGTTGTCTCGTCCTTGCCTTGATTTTATATTAATTTGGAATTGTCTTGTCCTTGCCTTAATTTTATATTAATTTGGAGTCCATTTACATTTTAAATACCAACTCTCCCCATTCAGATTTCATATCATATATATTTAAAAAAGAGAATTAGTAGAAGGAACAATTGATACTTTCAGTTGCTATTTACTCGTTCAGTTTCAATTATTATTCTGCATTTGCTCAATAAAAATTACCCATATTAAGGACTATTTGTAAGGACTTCCTGGTCATTGGAAGGAAATTGTGGCAGTTACCCAAAATTTTCAACTTGAATCATAAATGGCCTTCGTCACTTCGCCACTCAAAACACAAAAGTCGTCCCCGTTCTTTTGACTTCAATTTTTTACCACTTTATCGACTAATGACACCAACAGCTGGGAGGACACTTTTTGAGAGAAAAAGTCTTATGCTAACATGATTTTTCTTTTTTTTTTTTATTTATCAAAATTTCTTTTTTTTTCCCAGTAAATAATGGTAAGCCGCACAATGTAGAGTGAGAGGGAGAAAGTAAGAATGATACCTATTTAGAAGAATGGTGTGATTTAAGTTATACCAAGTATACAAACCCAATCAAATTACTAAGAAATGTTTTATATTTGAGTTTGGCTCACCCAATATCTTCTTGTTTGGAATTATTAACAATAATAAAAATCTTTTAATTAGAACACATTTAATCGATAAATTATTTTGAAGATTAGATTCATCAAATGATAGTTGAGAGAAATCAACCCACCAACTATTTGTAGGCCTTGCTGAATTGATTGAAATATATCGATTTTATTAGTAACATGGATAAAAACTGATCATCATATGGTATAATTACAATCTATATATAAAAAAAATTGGACAGCCACAGCTGATATATAAATGTTGTCTATTTATATGTACGCCTAGCATGAATGTTATTTTTTAGATGGCTAGAAACTCTGGTGGAATACCCCTGAATATATGCTTAATATCCTTGATTTCCGACATGATAGATGTTATTTGGTCCCCACATATGTGAGAACTCACTATTGAATCAAATACTAGAGTTCAGAATTTACAACAGTATTTAATTATAAACATCAACAACAAATTATTACTACCTCAGTTTTCGGAACAGGACATCTAATTTGGAACAGAGGGAGTACTAGTTAACAAAGACGAAAGAAAATATTCCCAATTTGTCCTGTCGTTTGATGTTCAAGCTGGATGCCAAACATTATTGTAAAAAGACAGATTAGGATTCCCACATCCACCTTTACTCCTAAATTCTTACAAAAAGAGCATTCCAATAACACAATTTAACCTAATGATCATATCCTCTCACCTTGCCCGTGGTGAGAAAATAAATGCAAGTGTTCCCAATCAAAATCCTTTTCACCTATGGATATTGTTAAGATCCAGACCAAAGCCTACAATACCTAAACAAATTTCCATTCATTTATAAACCATCCATCTAAATGCAGCATTATGGTTCAGTAATAGACTAATAGTTAAAAAAAGGAAAAAGGTTAGTTCAATGCAAAAAAAGAAAAAAGGTTAGTTCAATGCACGAGGGCTCTTGCGGGGTCTGGGAATGACCAGATGTACACGGTTTTAGCTCCGCATGCGAAAAGGAGACCTCCAGGTCAAAATGGAGCAACCAACCTTACTGTTGCACCAAGTCCCACCCATCTATATATTTACAGCCACTAGTTAATGCATGCGATAATTTTCTTTCCAGATTGTCATTGAAACATGATCTGGAAACCACAGCAAGAAACCCAATCCAAAAACAAGGGGAACTTATTCTTCATCACATCTGTTATCCTAGCATCTATCTAAGATCCAAAGGTTCCCCACCCATGCACACTGAGAGGCCTATAAAAAGCAGTTATTGTCACCATTCTTTTGCATGTTAAGAGGGTGCGGCGATACAATTGAGATGAATAAGAAAATCAAGGCATTTCACATCCCCCCTCCCTCGGGTTTCCACCTCAAGCATGCTTGATGCTGGAAAATTTGCAGGTTGAAGCCCTTGAGGGTAGAGCGGTTGAGACTTGCTTTGACCCTTAACGTGTAAGAATAGTAGAGTCCAAGTTTAAGAGGGATCAGCCCATACTGATAGCCGACTCCAACTGATTACAGCTACTACATATATTTTTTAACACACCTCATTTCATTTATTATACAAAGAGTAAGAAATGCACACCTGGTCACTACAAGAAACTATTATATACTTTTCGCTTTTGTTTTTTTCTGTTGGCCACTTTGACATTCCCATGAGGTTAAAGTACCAACCACAAGCCTATCGTTTTTATAGCCGTTCAACACCAACCCCTGCAAATATCAACCAAAATGCTCAAGAGCCTTTCAACATTATCTATGCTCCTTTTTCTTCTCCTCAACCAAACCATTTCAACTTCAGTATCCACCAAAACCTCTCTACGCCCTGAATTCACCTGCTCTTCCTGTTTAATCATGTATCTGGCCAAGACAAACCATCTGTGCTGCCATCTTTTGATCATTTTTTCACATGCTGGCAGTCAGATTGTGTAACTCACCTGAAGCATGCAATAGTTAAATATTACAAAGGTCTAGCGAAAACTAAGAACTTGTACAATTATGGTGAGATTCATATCTTTTGGGCTACTCATTTACACCAGAAAATATTTTTTCGTCCAGAATTAGCGTACATGGACAAAAATCCATTTTCCATTTCATTTTGGGTGCCTGGTTGAAAGTTTAAAAGCAAATGACCAATATTAAGAAAATGCATGATAAAAAGACACAAACACACATATAGTTAGTAATATAAGTGCTTCTAATGGTGTACACAAACACTACTATATGCAAGTGAAATACGTATCTATGTGCATATACTCTAGGCATGAGGATAAACAAGTATATCTATGACTATGTAAACAGGAGCATATATGTGTGAATATATACAGAATATATGTGTGTGAGGTGTGTATACAAGCATGAAATACGGGTGCATGTCCATACACGTCTGTTGTTTGGGCAGAAAATTCTTAGGAGTCTATTGGAAAAATAACGTGCATAAAAATACTGGCTTTTAGTTGACATAAGCAATTTTCATTTTTCTCCAAAAATTGCATAAAATATTTTACAATCAATTAATGTTCGAAAATGCTGAAAGTTTTCCCAAAAAAATAAAATTAAAACTCCATATTTTATAGGCGTATTCAGAATCCAACAAAGAAGAAATTCTATTGTGGTTTACATAGCACTTGCAGCGAAATGATTTTGTTTTTCATCCATATAAGTCGAACTCCAAATCATGCACAAGACCATCTGTCAATTAAAAGCATCATTCACACCTTCAATTTGCAGAAAAATCAACCAAAACTGAGATTAAATTGAATAACTGGCCTATTGGTTTGCTACATGGGGTCTTCAAAAGTGTGTGAAGTACGCGTTACTCGGAGAAGGATATGGGGTATGTGTCTGAAAGTTGGGCATGCACCTAAAAAGCATATACAATAATGTATCAAAATATTGTTTCAAAACGAGTTACAGTAAATGCCTAGTTTGAACACTATGTAACATAAAAGTATTAATTTATTCTAGAAAATAAAAGAAAAATATTAAATAAAATGAATATTTATCAATGTCCCCGTATCCTTCCATATGGGGATTTGATACATTCAGACTGAGTGTCTGCACCCACATACGTATCTGTGTCCTGATACAATAATTGGTGACAAGGCATGCCGAGTAATTTATCAGCATGTTATATTCACAAAAATCATATACACTAATAACTTAAAAGTTAGAATTGAGTATTCAGAGTAATAAATGTGCAATATTAAGAATTTATTTATTTCTTGACATTCTATATAAATTTCTAACTTTTAGTACATTTTTTTTAGTTTTCTTATTTTATAAATTTTTTATTTACTTTTCCGTCAAAAACAATTTCAAATGTATTAATATATATGTACTCTTAATTATTTACTTCTTTTTTTATATATATATTATTTTCCATATTTTTAATGAATTTTATTAATTTTTGAAGTCACTTCTTATTTATATTTTTATGCAAAACATATATATATATATATATATATATATATACGTGTAATATGAAGCAACTTAATATTATACAAATATATCAGATTACTGAAAACTTCAAAACTTACTGACTAATGTCAAGTTCAGAACACTTAAAAGCCAGAACAAGACTTTTTTGCGTCTTGATTCATAGATATGAATTTTGGTAGGGCGGGTGTTCGGTTTTCTCTCTCTATTTTGGCCTTCGGATTCGGATAAAATGAGAGAAGATTTTTAAATGAGGGTTCACAGCCGTCCCAACCCAACTGCAGAGTCAGACCGAGAAAGCTGTTAATTTTACTCTGGCCAATATCCCAGCCTATCTTGGTCTTTGACCCTAGACGTGTCTGAGGCGACTATGCTGAGTTGGTCGAGACAGGCTGAGGTTAAAGAATATGATTAGTCATGTGCAATGAATACCAGTAACTCCACTAGCAAGGAAGAGTAGCACCATCCACATTAAAGGTAATAATGGGGAAAGACGAATGATGCCAAAGCACAACTTGCTAAGACTCAACTAGCCTAGAACACCAAAATAGCAAAAAATAGCTTTAGCTATATCCTTGTTCTCCATAGTCGGTCAATGGAAGACCAAGATTAAAATGAGTTAAGATAGAAAATAAAATAATGTGTGATTAAACTACATTGAATGGGCTTGAGTATGTGTATCAGATGTGCATGAGTGCAGGGACGGATCTAGGAATTCATATGAGGGGGGGCAAATTTATATAGAGTGGTTTTTTCATAATTTCAGTGGGGGAATTTCAAAATTTTATGGGTGTAAATGCAAAAAAAAAAAAAAAATTAGGGATAAAAATGTAATAATAAAAAATTTCAGTGGGGGTGGATGCCCCCACTGAGCCCTTCATAGATCTGTGCCTGCATGAGTGCCCAAGTGTCAAACCCCCCTAAATTCCAAAGGACAGTCCTTGCCTCCTACCCCATCAGAAGGAACTTCCTTCTGCTGGGGGAATTGGCCCAATCAAAACTTTACATCTGTATAAAACTATAAAAAAAAAAAAAATTAAAGGTGGGTCATTGGGGGATTTTTTTTTTTTTTTTTTTAATGTGTAATCCAAAGACTATACATGTTCTTCTCTCTCCCCATGTCTCAGACGATGCGTACTCAGAGTTGTAATTTGAACTCTATCTCCAATTCAAAGTTATTCTTCCGCTCATTCTCCAATTCAATCTTCAAATTCTCAATCACTTAAATCAACTCCTTTTCTCTGGCCGCCTCCACTCTCTTCCCCATGTAACAAATCAATCATATTCATCATCTTTTGCCTCTAATCATCCAAACTGTTCGTCACAGATGGCAGACACCCCATCATCACATCCCTATCAACACGCCTAGAAGCACCAATGTCAACATCACCACGACCAATCTCTTCTGATCCCTCACTGCCTTGATCCCAACTTGGGTTTTAGAGTTTAAGAATGGAGGAGGTGGCAGGCAACGATGGTGGGGGGGCAGCATAACACAAGGATAGAGATTAGGGTATTGGAATGGAGGAGGTGGTGGGCAACAATGGAGTTTTGCTAGAGAGGGAGGAGGGAATGATCCGTAAAAAAAATTCAGATGATCCACCTTTAATTCATTTCAAGTTTTATATAGATGTAAAGTTTTAATTGGACCAAGTCCCCTATCAGAAGTTCCATCTGATGGGGTTGGAGGCAAGTATTTTCCAATCCCAAATTTTACGATACTTTTCCAATTCCAAGTATTATGATACAGGGACATGATTTGAAATGTGTACAATAATTGGGAAAAATAAATAAATAAATCATATACATTTAAACACATTATATGTTACTTTTTAAGAATATAATCGATTAAATTTTTAATTATATAGGATGTTAAAAAATGAATTTCCATCTAATCCAAGAAGTAGGAAACTCTCTGCTATCATATTTCAGTTTTTTCTTTTTCTTACACTGCCATGTATAATGGATTGGAGTGTGCAATTTGGATTCTATGTCAAACACATATCTCATACCTAGAGCATTTTGTATCTTATCGACCCAGATACATTGAGGAGAGTAGGAAAGTCCATATAACACGAAATTCAACAAAACTTCTGGCCATAAAGTAGGATGGCGAAATGTAATTCATCTAATTGACCCCAAATAGTTGGGACAAGGCATTATTTTTAGTTGTTGTTGTTATGTTTACACCACCTATAGATATTTCCTCAATGATTCAAGTCATTTGTAATAATGAGTTTGGTTATCACAATTTTGAAAAACAAAATCAAATGACAACTATCCTAACCTTTACCCTTTTCTCTTTAAAATTAATACTATTTACTATATTTTTCTTCACACCCATGACAACTGCTACTAACTATACCAAAAAGGGAACTCCGAACAGAGTTTTTGAAGACAAATCTTGAACATCTTGCCTCCCTTTCCTATCCTTATTATGTGATGCTTGCAATGAAAGGAACATCATAATCAGTTCCTCTGATATAATGAACTTGATCAACTGAGATTGAATTCTCATTTTCTATTCCATTTACTTGTGTTGAGAAAAAACTTATCAAATAAAGATAAATATCACAACTCTTGCTAGTTTTTCAGCTGTGCCCTTATTTAAACGGAAAAAGAGAAATTTTCAGTGCAAAAACATGATGCAAGTGAGATTTATTTTTTTCCCTACTGAATAAAGAATAAAGAGTTAAAAGGTGTTTTAATAATACTGAATATTCTGGATATATTTATATAGGTCAATAGGTGATAAAATAATCAATTATTCATCAAGGAACCAAATTGATTCATGGAAAATAATATTTCATCGCATTAAAAGTGAATATCAACTACTAATGCAAGAACTGGAAAGACTGGAATAACTGCTAAATCAAATAGTGATCTCATATTAAACAAACATCGTTAATAAAATGATCCACAGTGCATAATCTAAATATTTGAATGGTAAATATGTCCTGCTCTCACTGCTCAGCCATTGGCCCAGGTGGTAGGAGCTCTCCACGAAAGGGAGGTGAGCAGTTTGAGCCCCATATGGAGCAGTAGAGTTTGTGCACGTGTACCAAAAAAAAAAAAAAGTCCTGCTCTCCCTCCTTAACTTACAGGCCATATAGGAAAGGGTAACTTAAAGCCCACTGGAATTCTAAATGCCACCAACCTCAACTGGGATTCAGACCAATTCGATCTGGACTATTGATTAATACTTGAATCCAAATGATTCCCTGAACCCATCAAAGTAAATAGTTCCAGATAAGGTCTGATTATAGGATATCCTTACCAAACAAATAAATACATAAAGGATAAGATATAAGTTACTAGGGAGGACACTGACATTTGTGCAGCAATTAACAATTTACTCTATTAAATATATTATCAGAAGAACTAAAAGAATATAAAGGGAAATGTTATTAGAAGTATAAAAAAAATCCTATGTATTTATTAAAAAGCAATCCTCACAAGGGAAGTTCCTGTTGGTAAAAATTCGTGGTGCAATGCAGTATGTACCATGAATCAATATAGAAAGAAAAAATTATGATAAATAAATGAAACATGGACTTACTGTTAAATTTTTACACCTGAATGCCACTGGGAAGCCACACTGAAAGACTCGAGGGAAGCCATAATAAAATGGGGCAGTCAACAAGACAAATAGTATACGCCTCAATTAGAACCTTGATCCGGCGTTGAACCAAAATAATTAGATCGTTTTCCTAGTATCTCAGCTTCTCTAGCTATTTGGATATCGGAAGGCCAAAAAGTTTGATGAATAACTTTGAAAATAAAGCGAGGGAGCAGTGCCAAAGATATTATAAGCACAATGGAGAGCCAATAGGTAGGTGACTTTGCCAGATGGTAGATTGTCCTGCCAAATATACAAAATACATTAGTTCCAAATAAAACCTTAAACTGAGAAATATCTAGTATTACAAATATTGAAATATAGACTGTAGAGGAACAGACTAACCCATAATTGGGGAAGATGGGTATAGAATCCAATACCACCAAAGAGGTATATGTGATGATTATCGATCCCCATACTGCAGCATGAGTAAGAAGTAACCAACGTTGAATGTCCATTGCCAAGTGCAAATTGACTTGGATAACAACTGCAATTGTCCATAAACTGCCGATGCTCCATATGTCAATTGTGCTATCCCTATAGGTGAATAGCGGTACATAGAAGAGAACAAGGCTCTGCCATAGTGTGTCAATCATCATGATCCAAAAAAGACCCATATTGTAGCTCTCTTGCCTATGGCCAGCACTATAGAGTTTTGGATACTGGAGTAGCGTCTTATGACTCAAGTCCTTGTCCAAAATACCAACAACAATAGTAGGTACTGAAGTATAGATAACAGAATAAAATACACTACTCCAATCTGTTAATGCAGAAGTTGTTGAGAAAGCTGTGAACAATATATACCTGGAAATAACAAAGCAAAGCATGACGGAACATCCATGAAGTGTTGCATAATATGTAATTTAATGAAGGCATAAAAAATACTACAATGAATTCACCATAATACTCATGTAAAACATATAATTATAAGGATAACACACCACAGAAACAATTTATTTGGCAATAAACATTAAGAAACTGGAGTTGGAATCTCACATAAATTTGTTGCATATCCATCTTTAACAAGCAACAATATTTTTTAATACCTCACATCCCACGTTCTTTCTACTTTTTTTCAACACCTTTACAGAATTTAAAGTGGTCTAGAGAACTCTATTAGTTTGTCCAATGCATATTACAAACCAAATATTATTACTTGCTGCAATTTTGTGAGTTAAGTTCTAGAAAGGAATTCTCATTTGTGAAGGCAACTCAAATGTCACCAAATTGTATGCAATTTGAAATTTGACCTTTCTAATCCTGCCGACATTATAGTCTACATGCATATAGTGTTCTTCTCATGGATATCTGTTAGGTTAAATTATCTTCTAGAAAGCACTCCACTAGGACAAGTGACAATTTATCCCTTCATGGACGAATCTAATTAACTGATAATTACCCTAGATCTCTTAACTCCCTATGGGAGAAAGACTCCTGAGAAATATTAGTCATTTTCACCATCCGCAACAAGCAACAACAACAACAAAGATTTCTTATCCACATCTACCTCTACTTCAGCTTCAGTGATCAACACTACATCATCTCTAAAAGCATGTATAACAAAATCATTAATGGTGTGCTTAGTACAATTCACATCTCTTTATTTTACTGCTAACTGCAGTAGCTCAACAAGCCCTTATTCTCATTACTTAATAGCACACAAAGTGAAAACAATTGGACAACAGAGTAGAATTTCCAATCACGATATGCTTATGATCTTTCCTTTCTCTTTCACATTAATATGTATGAATACGTAAGTAATGTTACAAAAGAGATCTCACACTCTGTCATTTTGCTGATGATATAATTTTAGTCTGTGAAACTAAAGAAATAATTTTTCAGTTAAGGTCATGGAGAAATATTTGAAAATATAAAGCTTCTAAAAATAGGTACAACTAAAAGAAAATATATGGAACTGAGAATAGATGAATAGGATATAACCCCAACTTACTATTTATGATAGCTTAGACCAGTCGTCAACAAGGGAGATTAAAGATAACTAATTATTAAGAAATCTGCAAGTAGGCATTTGGATTTTTTCCACACTTGATTATCATAGTGTTTGGTGGCACACATTATACGTGCATTTGCAGTTCTGTTGGAGTAAAGATTGAAGAATTTACCTTACCATGTTCATTTAAATTTCACATAGAAGCAACAATATAATATATATATATATATATATATATATATATATATATATATAACACAATGTGAGAATTATATGTTACATCAAATTGATTACACCATTGCTTGTAAACTACATGTTGGAGTCACTGCTTATGCTTTCTACTCAAGTTGACTTGGGCAAATAGAAGTTATATTTTAAATGGCCTACCAACATATGAAGTGCAAATGTACTGGCCCATATATCATTTAACTTGATGGAATCACAGTTGACATCCAATCCTCTGGCTAACTAATTCAATCTATATTAAGAATAAATTGCACTAAATGTCGTTGACAAATTTATGAAATCTATTAAATCTGGCTACCACATATTAACAAGTTCAGGAATTGGAAGGTTATTTCTTTTGTGAAAGCCTAATTTCTTGTGGGTTTTAGATATATTAATAAAAACTTGTGGTCAACCAAACCAGAATTTCTCTTGAAGCAATATTGGCGATATTATTTTCCTCTGGTTATCAGCAACATTTATTTAGAATACAGCATTCATTCAGGAATACACTAACATAAAGATCTGAAAATCATATTAACAATGAGAAGGCGATGTGTGTAGGGAAAAGAAGAAGTATAGTTATTTATCATTGAACAGTGGGGAATGTAGAAACCAAAAGGAAAGATATTTACCAAAAGAGCATCAATACAAAAACGGCATTACGGTAAAAGTTGTAAAGAACCAAATAACCAACACGCTGATAATTCCAGTGCCCATGCACCAAAAGTAATCTTTTAAGAAACCGAAATTGCCCCATAGCAAAATCTGATGCCATCACTGCTTGACGACCTTCCTGACCACAAATACCAACACCGACGTCCGCCATTTGGATCATCGAAACGTCATTAGCCCCTATGAGTAGTATTATCGATCAAGAGTGAGAAAGAATAATATAACTTCCAATCAAATCAAGTCCAGCATGCAGGCGTGCATGCACAGTCAGAAGGCAAGTAAATATCAGAATGAGCAACTCACCATCACCTATAGCCAGTGTCATATCATCAGTGCGGCTCTTAATCAGGTCAACAATTCCGGCTTTCTGCAAGGGTGCAACACGACAGCAAAGCACAACCCTACAGGAAGTTGCAAGGTCGAACAGCTGTTGAAAATGAACAATACTATCAGGTAAGACTATAAAGAGAATATGTGTAATAATCTAGATACGAAAATCAATGGAAAAAAAAAGGGTCCTCCTGGCACCTAGAAATATTCTAGAATTGAAATCAAGGTATCTGACAATAACATAAACAAATGCAACAAAACCCTTAAAAGTTGTCAACTGAAAGCTTTTTAACTAAGAGAGAGAAAGAACCCATGCCTCAGACTCCAAGTCTTTCTCTAAGATGTAAACCAAACTATTCCCATCAATTATGAGTGCTAGTGGAGCACTCCTAGTTCCTTCTTCCCTTTCGGCATGCCAGTGCTGCATGTTGGACAAATTTGTTTCCCCGGGAACCTCAGAATAATCAGTTTCAGCATCCTTTCTCCATTTCAAATTTTGAGTCTCGCGCTTTACCGGTTTTATGCCATATTTGGCCTTAGCATCAGACAGTAGATTTCTGCATTCAATCTCTGAATTGCCATTTATGATAATCTGCTGCATGTCTGCAGTTAGAAGTTTACAAGAAAGACCAATTGAAATCGCTGTCTCTTGCTTATCTCCAGTCAAAACCCAGACCTTGATTCCGGCTTGACGAAGGGACTCAATGGTTTCAGGTACACCCTCTTGTAGCTTGTCCTCAATTGCGGTAGCCCCGAGTAGACGTAAATTGGATTCGATAAGAGCTGCTGTTTGGCGTAATTTTATGGATCTGTCAGTCAATGAAGTGCTTGCTTCTTCATACATGCATTGCCACTCCTCAAGTTCTTCAGCTGTTAAATCCCTGGCAGCAACTACAAGCGTACGTAAGCCTTCAGATGAATATTCATTTAAATGACTCTGGGTTGCATGCCTTGTATAATCATCGCTTGCAGGTTCTTTCTTTAAAATGCTAAACATTGAAGTATCAGCACCTTTCACCAGCACTTTTACAGCATTATCAGGAAATCTGATAACGACAGACATTCTTTTGCGCACGCTATCAAACTCATGCAGACCCAAGACATCCAACCTAAATTTAATATAAAAATTGTAAAATTTCTATTTGATTAATAATAAAAAAAATGTAAACTATTTGGGATAAAAAGCATTCAACTACAAGCGTCGTTAGTGACAATATTACAGATAATCAACTTGATAAAGTAATCAAATAAAACATCGAAGTAGGATGGATAACAAATTATTTTAATAAAGCAATTGAAGTGAGAAAATTTCTACCTTAGTTTCTCACCATTAACATCAATAACAATATGCCCAGATGTCCGCTCAAAAAGAGTATATCCATATGCAGAGGCGGCAGCAACCAGTGCTTGCTCATCTGGAGATTCACCCTGATAGTCAATTGCTGTGACATCTTCATCTGATTCACTCTTCGTGCAACTTGAAGATGGACTTTGAGTAAGAATAGGGATCACAGTGTTACACGCTGCCAATGAAAGAAAAAACTCATGTGCAGCAACCCTTTCCTCTCCAGCTAAGACTTTATGCAACAATTCCATGAGGTCAGAATGAATGGCAATTCCAGACTTCAGCTTCCATCTCCTACTTACAGGGGACATTGTTGGTGCTCCTGCAAAAGTTCATAAAAGAAAAGGGCTCATAGTCATAGAAGAGGATGTTGGGACATTCATTTTGCAGCCATCTCAATATTCAGTAAGCAAATGTACCATCATCAACGAAGAATAATAAAGCCACCATGGGAATGAGCATATTCAAGCTTCTTTGCATGCACATATATACCTAATACTTACAGATAGTTTCCACTTTTTAAGAAAGTAATGTCTTAAACAAAATAACCAGCGCTGTACATAAGAAATTTCAATCAACAGAAATAAGTGTTCAGTTATTTGTGTTTTCCATGAATAAGCTCTCCTTGTGGCACAAGCGGTATTTTGTGTTAGTTAAATAGTTCTAATATCAAAACAGTCGTATTATTACACGGTGTGTTCATAGGGGGCAAGAAGAAGAGTGCTCGTGAACAGATCACTTGTACATTAAAATACAAACTCTCAGGAACCTGGGTTCCTACAATATTAGTAAGTGTAAAGTGCAAAAACCCCTCGCCATATAAAAAATGTGCAAGAAACACCCCTACTATTTATTATGTGCATATAAATCCCTGTATTTTCAAATTTTGGAGCAAATTGCCACCTAATAGTCAATTTTTACCAAATTTTTTTTTCAAAATTAACCCTTTCAAGTGACAAAAATTCCCTTGCAAATTCTATATATATTTGGACACATAAGACTTTGCTTGGTTGCCATTACTAGTCTCTCTCTCCTCCCTCTCCCCTCTCCCATGTCTGCCAATGTTGCTGTCCACAGGGAACCAGTCATCAAGCCCCCATGAATCTGCCCAATAGTCCCCAAATATAACTTTTATATCTTAGTGTCATGTGTATACATCACGTATGTGTGAATGTTTAGATAGGTATAATAATATAATCTCATGGAAGTTAAGAGAGAAATTGATTCAAAAAACAATCAATTAACATGGAATAGTTAATCAATCTCATCTCAGAAAAATTAAAAAAATATATCATTGTAATCTATAATATATAATGCATCAAAGATCGGTGATGTTGTCATGAAAAATGTGGGAAGTCAGATTGGGCTTGACAATGACATATATGAATGTATAAATGTGAATCTATATCCATTTCAAAGAAACCAAAAGACAATATCATGGCATATATATACATATATAAACATTATATATATGTATATATAGAAATATCCTTTACCAGTGGGTCATAAAATTGAGTCATGATTGTTGATCTTTGTATAATCACAGTGAGGTAGGTCTAATATTTAATCAATTTGAATGATTGATATATTGCACTCATAGGTATGCATATACACATGCACACAGATTTGGCCACCAAATTGCTTTGCTGAATTGGAATTTCCGGTGGCACTGTCAAAGAAAGCATCGGTCATGACTTCATCTTCTTTGGGGAAGTCAAGCAGGTCGTTAACAGCGAAATGGTTATCGGCCGGCTTTTGGTTAAAGTAGCGGCTTCCGGTGAGAATTAATTATTGCAGGAGCCAAAATAGCTACTGATAAAGAAGTCTGGTGCTGCCATTGGTGTGGTGTGTTCACAAAAGGGTGAGTTGCAAAGCAACAGTTTCCTAGAAATCTATAGAGAGAGAAAGAGATCGACTGTGTTTAGCGTTGGGTTGTAAGCAATACACAGAGATGGACTGTTATTACTTTAAGGGTAGTCATTTCGCGTGTTGCTTTTTTTAAATTTCTAAAGTAAGGGTACTTTTGTCATTTCAATGTTCAATTACCCCCAAATTGAATATTTGTCCTTATTTGCACTAACTGATAAATGCAGGGGTGTTTTTCAAACTACAGGGGGGTATTTGCACATTTCGTATATAGTGAGGGGTTTTTGGCACTTTACCCATATTTTAAAAATACAACTTCCACAAAATACAGTATTCAAAAACAAAGGCTCCAGATACCTAGAATGTGTTTATTGCTTGTGTGTTTCCATAATTTTATCTTCCATAATTACATAAACTAAATATGTGTATAGTAATATAGTTCTATGGCCACATAACAATTTGATTAAGGCCTGGAACTCGTAAGAATGTAGAAAAGGAGATGGGTTGTTAAAGAAGAGAGCGCATATTGATAACTTCCCATCATAATGCACACTATCTACTGCCAGTGCAATACACTTGAAAGCCCAAAAATAATAATACACTTCAAAAATTATCCTTTGGTATATGAGTCGTGTTAGCAATTTCATACTCAACATTGTGGTAATTTGTCAAAGTGCCTTAAGTCATATGAGGACAACCATTGAAGATTATGCAGACAAAGATTTGCAAAGAACAAGCAAGAAATCTGCATGCTCATTAACATATCTGGGGCATGTAAATGACCTTAGAAAGACCTTAAAATTCTAGTTTTGATCTAGGAGGAGTGAAAAATATTTTTTTAAACCTGTTTTTGATAAACGATTTTTCAAAGCACTAACTTTTTATTAGGTTCTCAAATTATCCTTTTATTGAAAAACAGTGTGAAATTGACAGGTCAATCAAAAGCTCTCTAGTAGACTTAGATTAACAGGTGGATCGATAGAAATTTTTCAGAAATCTTTTTTCCTGAAATCCAGTATGCTCTGGTTGATTGGTCAATCAATCAAGCAGCTTGGCAGTAGGTGTCGATCAATTGAACCACACAGAGGTTTGTTTTGGACACTTTCTCAAAACGGATTCCTACCAGGATTCAACTTAACAAAATGTACAGGCTACCTATATTGGCTATAAATATAGTGTTCTAATTAGTCTAGCGTATAGTCTTTAGCTTCTAATCACTGAAAACAAAAAATCCTTGTATAATAGAGAGGTTCCCAATTACTCAATTTAAGGTTTCCTTAGACACTATCTATGTGATTGTATTCATCAAGGAAAGGTGTTCCAATTGAACCGGTCAGATTTTTAAGCAGAAGGGAGGAGTAGGAAAACCATTGGACTATTGGAGAAGCAAATTCGTGAGGAGCGAAATCTGTAGACGAAGCAGTTGGACAGCCTGGAGATTGAGTGGAGAGCTTGGCGTTAGTCTGTATGGATCTGTTAACCTAGCAATAACTTCTTTGTCAAATAGTGGATTGTTCTTGGCTAGACTAGGATTTTGTGGTTTCTTCTAGTTTAGGGTGAAAAAATTTGGTGTATGTGACGGTTGGGTTTAAAAGCTTTCAAATCACAATCAACATAACTACCTAAAAAATAATTATAATTTAAAATTAATACCCATAACACCTATTCACCCTCCCTCTCTAGGTTGAATTCACTGCTTGTACTCTAGGTTGAATTCACTGCTTGTACTCTTAAATATTAGAGTCTTAGGCAATGATCCCTACAATCTAACAATTGCTCTCAAAGCATATCAATTGTAGACTTATTCATTGGTACCAGAGCGGATTACTCAACAATATTAAATAAAAAATTGATATATAGGGAAAATATGGATAGTAAGAAAAAGAATCCATGACTAGACTAAATTTTGTTGAGCTAAAAGCTGTCAACGATCCCTACAATATAATTATTGCTGCTAATGATGAATTGAAAAATACATCGTTGATAATAAAGTTAGTTTTGTCTGAACTATCTAGACTAAATTTTGTTGAGAGTTCTATTTTGTTAAATAAATTAAAGGTAATGGAAGTTAACTCAGAAAATCATAAGTTAGAAATCACTACTTCAACAATTTTGATGACTGGACTTAAGAAAGAAAAAGTTGTATAAATCAGCAAAGTAAAATCTCTAGAATAGATTCTAAACAGTCCAGGTTGTTGAACAAAGAATTGAAAATGAAAAGAGAAAAGTTGGAGTTGAATCTTAGAACAATAAATAATGGAGTTGAAAAACTAGATTCTAAGGCCATATAAAATATAACTTCTATAGTGCCTATGGACAACGAAGAGTAGTAGTGAGAATTAAGGCTGTGTTTAGTTGAGCTAACGCTGTCATGACAGAAGTAAAAATGTTATCAGCTATTGCATTCATTTCTTAAACAAATGAGTGCTGTATCCTACTTGAAATAGATATAAAGACAATTAAGCAATTGGGTTAAGTTAATGAGTCAATAATCACAACTATCGACATGATTACTCCTTAAGCAAAAGAGTAAATGTATATTCAATACATACAAAAATGGAATACTAAATATATATAATATATATATATATATAGAGAGAGAGAGAGAGAGAAATTGTAGAAAGAAAGGAATGGACAGACTCACAATAAGAGAACAAGCATAAACAATATGAAAATTAATCTAAAAGATCAAATCAGAAGGATTGCTTCACAGCATTAGTAAGTTCCAAATATTATTTGCTAAAACTAAATGCAATAAAAATTAGATGATGAAAAAAAAAAAAAGATTTATGAGTGGCCAGATGGTGACAGTGAAAGAAGACATAACACCCATAGCAAGCTATGATATTGCTCTGTTTGATCACTACCAAAAACTAGAAAAGACCGTCAAAAAGTAAAGCAAGTATATCGATGTACCTTCAATCCTTGTATCCGACATATCAGCCACAGGCACAGAACTCCCATAACTCTTCCCATACACACTAGCTCTTTGGAATTCCATTTTGTTTTGAGTAAGTGTTCCAGTCTTGTCAGAAAATACATAACGTATTTGGCCCAGATCCTCATTTATATTCAAGGATCTGCACTGAAACCTTGAGTTGGAGCTACTATCATACATATGCAGGTCGCCAATCATGAAGTATGACTGTCCCAACCGAACCAACTCCATTGTAATGTAGAGAGATATTGGTATCATTATCTGAAAGACTATAATAGAACTCAAAAAAGAGAAAAATGTCTCCATTGGGATCCCATAAAAATTGTATGCATGGAACCCTTTATTTCTAAAATTTCTTTTCCGGTAATAAGGCAATGTATCTAGCTGGTTCTTGTGACGCTCAAGCCAAAGACACATGCCAACAGACACAACCAAGCACATGATAAAAAGAAAAACGGACAACCATAAGGTTTCCCTATTCATGTGGGTTTCCAGTCTGCTTCTTTTTGATGGAGACGCTGCACTGTTGAGCATGGCTTTTGTTTCCTGTCCAGCATAAACCACTACACCGACTGCCCAATCTGTATTCTTCAGCTGACAACCACGCAAGATGATGTTGGATTGGCTGAGGGGAAATTTGAGACCTTTGAACTCCATGTTGGCTGTGAACTCATAAATATTCCTATTAGGCTGCTCACATCTGATAAGCCCTGAAATTGTCCCTCCTTCAGCTACCATTGGAGTCGTTTCTTGCCTGGCATACCTTGTCTTCAAGTTTGACTCACCATCCAGATTCATCGTCTGAATGTAAGCTATTCCACTAGAATCACTTGTTCCTAACAGCACCATATCACATGGAATTGTCTCATCAGCACAGATCTTCACAACCTCACCGGCCCGAATTTTTTTCCATGTTTTCCCTTGGAACTTGCCAGATTGAAGAACTAGAGCCTCACGGTTATTCTCATTCCTGTCTGATCTGTGTCGTCGCCAATCCTCATAACCATCTTTAATAGCCGTCACAGAAAGCACAAAGAGAAGAGGAAAAAGAGAGACTGTTCTACCAAAAACTGCGAGAGGAGGAAGCTGATTGAGAGCAGCAATGGCTAAAAAATATAAATAAGCAACCCGATGAAACTGAATGAAAATATTCTTGGGCAAGAAATTTATGACCGTGTACTTGCTAGTTCGGATTTCATTACCAGTGAACTCATACTTATCATTAGTCTTTCTCGGATCATTAACATAGATCAACCTTGCATTCTCGTCATGTGACGGGTCATCTTCAAACTGCATGCTTTTGTGGCAAATCCTCTGAGATTTGTTCACCTTATCCTGGATCTGAGATGAAGCCTTAGAAACTTCAAAACTTGAAGAATTATGCTGAAGCTCCATTGCACCACTCCCTGACACCAGGCGTTTCCTCGATGGGGGGCATACCAATGGAAACTGCTGAAAGGACTTAGGGTCAGCCGGACATAAGTTGGATGTTGCAGGAGAAGCAGAAACTTTCAGGGATTTATCCTGAATGTTGTCGTCCTTCAAATCTAATAAGAAGTTACTTTGTGTTTCATCACAAACTGAAGAAGAAACTGATGTATTGTGACAAAGACAACCGAGAGAGGAAATCCTCAAAGTTGAAGGCTGGGGATTCGGCACAGACAAATGATCAGACGAGGACAGCAACGGCTTATCGGAAGTCATAAACAGTTCTCCAATGGGCACACATTGGAGAATAGCAAAATTAAATCCCACCAGAATTGCTAAAACTTATAAATTGAAAACCCAAAGCAAATTTTTTCCGTTCTGTACTCAGAGAACAAGGATTTTGAGCTACCCTGTTCACAGATGACACCCCATCCCATCTATTTTTCTCCAAATCACAATGCCCAACAGTTGGCCAACATATTCAATTCAAGCTCACTAAACCACCTTTATCAAACATTTTGCTTTGATGTACTGCAATGTAGCATTAGTGAGAATTGTGCTCAAACCTGCTGGAAACAACAGGGCTCAGAAAGGGAAGAGACGCTCTTGGGCCAAAAACGGATCAAAAAACCAATCTTTTTCTTTAAGATAGAGGCAGACAAAAGTTCACGAATTCAAAGAAATCAAACACTCCAATTCATATTAATGTGGACGTGTCCCTCATTATTGCCCCCACATAACAACAACTGTACACGGATCCTGAACAAATGCCAAAACTGAAAACAAAAAAAAAAAAAAACAAAAAACCAAAAAGCACACAGAAACGAATCAGAAATCGATGCCCATTATAACCCTCACCTCCTAAATGCAATCTCATTCATAAATTAACTGCTAATCAAAATTGCAAATTTAACATCAAACAAACAAAATCAAACAATGCCCATGTTAAGAGAGAGAAAGCAAAACCTGTTAGATTGAGCGGGAAGGAAACAAACAAGGCCTCATAAACGCCCACCTTATCGTCTTGGAATTGGTGAAACGAAACTGAAACAGATCAGATGCAGTTCAATGCACTGAATACGAAATCATAGCGAAAATGCCAGCGAACCCAGATTTGGACCTTTCGCGCAGATCTCACTCTGAGCTTTTATGAATCGAATCAGCTTTTTTCAAGTTACCTCATTAAACATGAAAATATAAAACAGAGAGAGATTCTTGGTTTTAGTAATTCTTTCGATGAAGATTGAATCAGCTGTGATCGACGCAGGGAGAGGGAAGAGAGAGAAAGAGGTAGAGAGAGAAAGAGAGGGACGAGTGGAGGAGCACGAATATTGGTCCTATTCTGCTTTGGTGACTCGTCGTCTCTGGCTGGAATGCCCCACCCACGGTGGCCTCTTTATTGTGTTGTTGCTGTAAAATGACTGACTTAGACGTTTCGACTTTTTTATTATTATTATTATTATTTTTTGGGGGCTTTTGCAGGTGAAATGACTAAAATGACCCTACTGCACGGACCGTACCATGAATGCCTGCCCTGCTCTATTGTTGTTGCTTTCATGAATGTGATCTTCTACGTTTCTGTTCACTGTTGCGTGTAAATGAAGAGCAAAAGGCAACGCAACACCTCCCGTCAGATACTAATGGCGGATTGTCCCCTCCACTTTTGGGAGTGAATTCCCGAAAATACCCCCGCTTGGTTCCATGTCTGAATAGGATGTAACTGTGTTGGAGGCAGGTGTCGTGTGCTTGGTGCCAATCACTCTGAGTTGAGATTATTCCGCTTCAATGCTCAACTAGTACATTGTACCTTCTTGTGTGTTGAATTTGCTCCACAGGATTGTTTCAAAATAATAATGTGATTAATTCAAGTATGTATATATTTCTTACATTAAAATAAGTAGAAATTTCGGAACAAAATTGATGAAAAAATAATCAATTTTGACGATGAAAAATTCTTAAAATCAACTTTGATCACCTACCAAGAGTTGCGTTGATGATATTTCATTTACTTTTAAAGTGAAAAAAAAAAATATTATATTTTTTTAAAAAGTGACTGTTTTATTATTTTTATACATTTCTCATTATTTTTATGGAGCACACTTTACTTTTCTACAAAAAAGTTTATAAACTCAATAATGCATCATCTCTTGTTTTAAAATATCATAACTATTTTTTATTGTATAAACTTTACTTTATTTATTCTTTTTAGTAATATTTTATTTTGTCCTTTCAAAAAAAGAGATGATTTATTCAATGTAGATAACTTATTATGGTTTTTTTTTTTTTTTGTTGCCCCAGTGTCAAAAGAGATAATTTATTCAACACAGATAATCTTTTTTATTTTGTTCGAAAAGATAATTTTTTTCAACAAATATAACTTTTTTTTTAAGTTTTATTTTTATTTTTTTGTTTGTTACACTTTTTTTTCCTAGAATTTTGTTAAAAAATATAATTTATTCAACATAAATAATTTATTTAATAGAGAATTTTTTTTTTTATCTTGTCAGAAGATAATTTATTTATTTTTTGATTGGATATATCAAAGAAACCGAAGATATTAAAGATGGGTGAGAGGAGGGGAGACCAAACGGTAATTGTGTAATTTGAAAATAAATAATTAGTCATTTGTGAAGTTAGTATTAGAAAAGTTATTTCCTTTAAAAATAAAATAAATAAATAAAATTTGGAGGTTGGAGGCTGTCGAAGAGACCAAAAATATTAAAGATGGGTGAAAAAAGGAGAGCCCAAAGGGTAGTTGTGTAATTAAAAAATAAATAATTATTCATTTGTGAAGTTAAAGTTAAAAAAGTTATTTCCTTTTAAATTAGAGTACAAATATAGGAAAGTGGGCATGAATATCGCCTCCTTTAGCAATTGCAATTTTTTTTCCCTCTTTTAATTCTATATTTAGTATATGAGAATTTATAGAAATAAATAAATAAAGTCAAAATCTAAATCATTAATAATTCAATGGGCTTTCATTTGATGGGACCTATGTAATTTAGATAATACGAGTATTATGTTTCCCACTTAAAATCTTTAATATAATTTCTGCTTTTAGCTTTATATATGTTCTTTGTAAAATATTATTGTTCCTTTTCAGATTTTACAATAAGTGTGTCTCTCAAGATAGCCTTTCTATTTTCTTTATTATATATGTACTATTATTTTTTAAAAAATAAATACAATCAATTTATTTTGTGAGTGTTCATTATGGTATGTAATTCTTAATATAAAATTAAAGATGTATAGTTTTGGTATTTTGTATTTATTTTTTTACTATTATATATATATATATATATATATATATGTATATATGTATACTAGTAGTGATATTTGTACCGATTAGTTATTTATGCACAATACAAGTAAGTGAAGGGTCACACTCTTTTATTTATTGCATAAATAAATCAATTAAAATAAATAGGTCTACCAATTAACTGCAACAAATCTGTTTTAGAATCATTTTCCTATATATACACACACACACACATATTACATTGTAATTTTTTATGCATTTGTATTTACTATATATTTTGACAAACTAAACTAAACGAATTGTTAATTGAAAAAAAAAAAAAAAAAAAAAGGAAGAGGAAAGAATAAATAATTACACTAGGTTTTATCTCTCTATCGTTAATTTACTTTCCTTTACTAATCTTTTTCAATATATATATAAATGTGTGTGTGTATATATATTCTCTTCTGCACTCTTTATGTTTTTCAATAGAGTAATGCTATTGTGAGAAGTAAAAAGTATAAAGAGCTCCTGCTTATAAGCTACACGATTCTTTTTTTTTTAGGGATTTGGGATAGATAATTAATTAATAAAGAATCATTTGCTATAAAGAAACAAATAATCTTTTTTTTCTCTTTCCACGCTCTCTCTTTCTCTCTCTTTGTTAAACCCTCAAAGATTCTCTCTCTCTCTCTCTCTCTCTAAGCCATCAATTCAGTTATCGAAAATAGGCGAGGCTTTGTTTTCTTGAAGATTTGATTTTTTTCTAAGCTATGAATCGAAAGATCCTTAAACAAATTGAGTCGTTTCCATTAAGAAATTACAATGGATGTAAAGGAGGGGGGTGGAACGGTGTTTTAATTGTCTTCTTAGGAAATTATTGTCTAAGAATGCTATCAAAGCTAATAGCTTGCATAATATTGCTCTTCAAGGAAGGGTGGCAAGGATTTAAGAAAAGATTTTTCAATTCAAGTTTGAACATGATTAATTCAAGCTCATGTAGTTTTGATAGTCAATTGTTGGTATTGGTTCTTTGGGGTAAGATAGGCAGATCAAAGATCAAATCTTCGACTAGGAAAAACAAAAAATCCAATCTTCAATACACCAAGTATTTTGGGTGCAGTTAGAGGAGGGCATTTCTTGTAGAGTTAATGGGGATAAAGTTGGGTACATTTTTCCCCTCACAAATGGTGGTATTAATTGAGTCTAAATCCTAAAGGATCATAAGTTGCTAAAGGCCAGCGACCAAGCTTATAGTTTGTGGATATATCCTGGTTGGTTTTTATATTGTTCCATGTTAAACGTTGTTGGAGCATTTTGAACCCTACTTGGAGTTGAGAGATCTTTTGCCCATGTTTGTTTTGTTACTGGAGGCTATTTGTTCAATGCTCCCTCCTCCTTATTGTTTTCTTGGAGTGGTGTAATTATAGTGTGAATGCCTTGGTAATGTATACATGATTTTATCAGTTTATATTCAATCTGAATTTGATTTATTATCTGGCTTTACTTTTATTTAGTCTCTCAAGAATAATTCTTCATTGCATAATGATAACTTGTGTACAATTCTTTTTCCCATTTTTCACATTAATTCTCAAAGAATTGAGAGCTCAAAAGCTTATAGCAGCTTATCCTTGAAAGGGAAAAATAGTTGGCAAAGGAACACAACAACTAAAAGTAGTACAAAAATAGTAGCTCCAGCAACCTAACACAAAGGAAAACAATAGAAGAAAAACCTGATAGCCCCTCAAAAATCTGCCATGGACAAAGAACATATGCAACAATTAAAACACTACTCCACCCCCCCTCCTTCGTATCCATCGTAATTTATTCTTCATCAAGAGATAACAAAAATTCATAACTTAGAGAAAATCAAATCTTCAAGAAAACAAAGCCTCACCAATCTTGATTGATGGCATGGAGAGAGAGAAACCAAGGATAGAATACAGGTGGAGAGACTCTTTAAAAGAAAGACAAATGGTTAACTATGAGAGAGAAAGAGACAGGTCCTTTGAGGGTTAATCAAGAGAAAGAAAGAGACAGATTGGTTGAGAATCTTAATTAAGAAAAAGGAAGAGAGAATGTGGAGAGAAAAAAAAGATTATTTATTTCCTTATTACAAATGATTCTTTCTTAATTTATTCTCTCTGTGAAATTCTTTAAAAAGTAGACTTTTTGCGAGAGCACCTTCGCAATAGCATTACTCTTTTCAATAACTCTGTATCTTTGTTGGTTATGTCTTTAAAATTTAATCGTAATTAAAAAATATCATATTTAAAGATTTAATAGAAAATATCATATCAAAATACAATTATAAAAAGTTCTTAAATTAAGGTTCTTATTCACCATATAGAGATCACTCATTCATGGTATAAATTTTAATTTTAATTATTTAAAGATTTAATAATTAAAAAAAGATCTTCCAAACGAAGATATATACTAGCAAGATTGAATTCAGGTTATTAAGTTATATTAGGGTTTGATGAATTCCATAATTATAAGTTTTGCTATTTTTTTTCTCTTTTCTATATTAAGATCTTTCTTATATTAAAAAATTACTTTTAAAATACACAAATAGCTAAATAAGTTAGACAAATAAAGTAACCACATAATTTAAGATAAAATCTCAAATTAAAAATAGCATTATATATGTGTGTGTGTGTGTGTGTGTGTGTGTGTGTGTCCGTTTAAGATTTCTAAGATAGAAGCAAACAAGTTTATAAATTTGTAATATAACAAGTAAAAAATCATGTTCACATAATTACAATCTTATATCTATATAATAATAATAATTATTTTTTTAAAGCTAAACTAAATTAAATTAAATCTCAGTCTATAATTCCAAATTGGTATCATAGTGTCTTAAGTATCACTCTTATTAAAAACTTGTAATCCCGTGTGCCAGCCTATTCATCTCTGCTCTGCACTCATACGTTTTGTAATAAGTATGAACATGTAGTTGGGTTCAGAATCAGAAAAGAGCATATTACGTATGGCAGGTATCACTGAATAAATTATTTTAAGATTTTGTGTTTCTTGTACTCAATATCTTGGATTTATTTATTTATTTTTTTGCTGGAAGGGCAGCCCTCGGGCAAGGTGATTTGCTCAGGGGAAATTGGAGGCCCTAAATTTAGGACTATAATACAAATAT